CCTGGCGTATGTGGACTATGAGAAAGCCTTTGATTCCGTCGAAATTTGGGCGGTGCTACAGTCCCTTCAGCGGTGCCAAGTTGACTGTCGGTATATCGAAGTGCTGAAGTGTTTGTACAGTAGGGCTACGATGGCTATCCGAGTACAGAACCAGAGCTCGAAACCTATCCAACTGCAGAGAGGTGTAAGACAGGGTGACGTTATATCCCCGAAACTCTTCACCGCTGCATTGGAAGACGTTTTCAAGCTACTGGACTGGAAAGGATACGGCATTGACATCAATGGCGAGTACATCACTCACCTTCGATTTGCCGACGATATAGTCCTTATGGCAGAATCGCTGGAGGACTTAAGCACTATGCTCAATGACCTCAATAGTGCCTCCCAACGGATAGGTCTTAAGATGAACATGGACAAAACAAAGATCATGTTCAATGTCCATGTCACACCTATGCCGGTAGTTGTTGGGAGCACTATGCTCGAAGTTGTTGACGAATACGTTTACCTGGGACAAATAGTCCGACTAGGTAAGTCCAACTTCGACCGAGAGGTCAATCGATGGATTCAACTCGGCTGGGCAGCGTTCGGGAAATTACGGCATATCTTTTCGTCAGGTATACCTCAATCTCTAAAAACTAGATTGTACAACCAGTGCGTGTTGCCAGTGATGACTTACGGATCTGAGACGTGGTCCTTCACTGCTGGCCGTATGAGGACGCTTAAGGTCGCTCAGCGAGCTATGGAGAGGGGCTATGCTCGGAGTTTCTCTGCGTGATAGACTCAGAAATGAGGATATCCGCAGTAAAACCAGAGTGACCGACATAGCCCAACGGATTAGTAAGCTGAAGTGGCAATGGGCCGGCCATATAGCTCGAAGAACCGATAACCGATGGGGAAGAAAGGTTCTCGAGTGGCAGCCTCGTACCGGTAGGCGTAGTGTAGGGCGACCCCCACTAGATGGAGTGACGACCTGGTAAGACATGCAGGAAGTCGATGGATGCAGATGGCTCAGGACCGTGCTTTGTGGCATTACTTGGGGAGGCCTATGTTCAGCAGTGGACTTGTGAAGGGCTGTAATGATGATAATGATGATGTCACTGAGTGATAGGAAAGTGGATTCTCTGACGCAACTGCTAAGTGATGGTTGTAAAATATATTTCATTGTTTTTATTTCTTAATATTGAGTTGACTATCGTACTTAGAGCCGTGGTAGCTCAGATGGTTAGCGCTCGCTGTTAAGTCGGGTTCGATAACCAATGAAATTGTTGATTGCAATTTTAAGTGCTGATTTACCACGTGAACGGCGGCGAAGGAAAACATCGTGAGGAAACCTGCATGTCTGAGAAATAAAAAATAATATTTCTAAAACATGTGAAGTTCGCCAACACGCATTGGGGCAGCGCGGCGGACACTTCCTTGCCCTAAAACCTTCTCAGAAATGACAGGAGGCCTGTGCCCAGCAGTGAAACGTACGAGTATATAGGCTGTAACTTTAGCTTTACTTTAAAATTCATCTTACTTACAGTCAACCTTTGTATTAAGCTCTGTATGAAGTAATTATCTCAGCTGCTTGGCGGTTAAATATGTTAATAAGTAAAGTGTTTACGTTTTTCTCATCACTTTGATTTGCAACTCTTTCCTTTTTTAAATCATAATGGATACCGATTTAACATTTGAACATCGAATTGGTTACAGACCCGCACCGGTCTACTGCCGAACATAAGCCTCTCGCATAGATTGCCTCTTGGAGGGGGGGGGATACTTGCCATAGTTGCCATGCTTGGCATGTAGGCGATTGAAGTAGCGGGGCAGATTCTATTTTTTCGAAGAATAAAGGTGACAGACGAGCGCGCAGTCCACATGATGTTAATTAAATGCTCTGTTATCCTCCATTAAGGGGATAGAGTAAGTCACCTCAAATTCTAATTTCGTCCCCACTTCCCCGCGCGTCGTATGCTATGTACCGACATGTTTGTAATCACTAATACCGTAAGTAGAAAGGTCGTTAGACACTTATTTCATTAGGTTTATCATATTTATGCCTGTTTCTTAACTCCAAGCCAGTCGCTTCTTATTTTTATCACGGTTATTTCCCATTTTAATTTTACGTCGTCTTGTTGCGTGATGTATATTCTGATCGTAAGCGACACAACCTCCCCGTTCAAAGGCCGAAGCGAAGTGACCGTGCGGCAGGAATCACGCTATAAAAGGCCGATAGTTTAGGTAATTTCATTCTTTTTATAGTGAAAATAATGGTATTTTAAAAAAAGTAAATAACATAAGCACTACTTTATAGTTAGTTCAGTTAGTATGCAAAGTTTCATGATCTTATTTAAATTATTTTATGAATAACAGCGGTTTATTGTTTATTTTGGAGGTAACTTTGGATTTTTTTTCTATCGAGAAAATTTTACGAAATCGTGTTTTCGTCTAACATAATCCTTAACATTAATCCTCAACTTTACCATATATTTATTTCAAAATTATTGCTGCAATATTTTCGGCATAACGAAGGATCTTGCTAAGCCATTTGAGATTATATTTCCCCTTAAGAATTAAAATGCAGATTGCGTTATTTCATCTGAATACTGAAGATCGAAAGTCTCGTTATCAGTAAAAATAATCTCCGGTTATACTCTCACTATACGAAACAGAGCTGCATATTTTACGCTGGTATCCTGTGATGGCGTTTTTCCCCGGTCGAGCCAAATCAAACAAATCAATCATCTTGCAGTCTTAATACAGCTGCAGCATGTCTCTACTCTGTTTCATAAGATTTTCAGAATATAGAGAAGACCTGCTATCAGCAATAGAATGTTTCAAGACTACTACTACAATATTTCTTAACTGTAACTGTTTTAGTCTTGTACATTGTGCTTACATAACCTTACTTACGAAAGTACTTTAAATACGCAGAGTTACTTTCATGACTGCATCTAGGGTTGCCAGGTCTAAAAACCGAAAAGCCGGACAGACCAGCGAGCTTCATTTAAGTTAAGTTCCGCTCATTTCTGAGAGGGTTTTAAGGCAAGGAATTGTCCGTCACGCTGCCCCAATGCGTGTTGGCGAACTACACATGTCCTTGCAATTTTTTTCTTATTTCTTAGATATGCAGGTTTCCCCACGATGTTTTCCTTCGCCGCTGAGCAAGTCGTAAATCTGCACTTCAAATTTCAACTAACAATTTAATTGGTGCCGGCGGGGATCCAACCCGGTTTGCTCGCGTATTGTGAAATTTACCACGAGCGCTAACCATCTGAGCTACCAGCGAGCTTAGCCGAACATTTTGGTAAAAAAAAGGTCGAACATCCTTATTGTATTAGTATAACAAGACAGTTTTTTTTTTACAGTAAAAACAAAATTTTTATTATTTGCCATATAAAATCTTCTTAAATTCTAATGAAATAACAATAAAATTGAATAAATCTTCTTCTTTATTATTATTAATTCACTATTCATTACAATATTAATATTAATTATACATTTATATAATTATGTATGTAAGTACATGAGAAATGTAAAAAAAATGTCAAATTTAAAAAGCCTTACAAAAGCCGGTTGGTTGCGTGTCCGTCTAATTTGGCCGGACACGCAACCAAAAAGCCTGACTGTGTCCGGCTTTATCCGGACGCCTGGCAACGCTAACTGCATCTAATAAATATTTTAATGATCGATTTTGCTGCATCTTTATAACTTGTTTAATGTGAGTAATATTCAAATTATCTAAGTGAATATGAACGAAATAAATCGCTAAAACTCGTATATCTTACAAAACTACTCGGCCTTCGGATTTGCGAGGATTTTTAAATTTTCTACCCTAATGGCTGACACTTTTTGTTAGTTAAATCGATCAGTCGAACTGATTAATACGTGGTAGAGCCATGCTGCAGTTACATTAGTAGTATAGTTGTAGCATGAATGGGTAGGCTCGACCGGGGAAGGACCACGCTGTCACAGAATACCAGCGTACAATATTAGCTAATGCTGCTATGTTTCATATGGCGAGTGTAGAGGACCGGAGATCCTTTTTACTGGAAACGAGGCATTCCATCTTAGTCCTCAAGGGTGACAACATATCCGGATTGATTGGTTTTGATTGGTAATCAAGGATAGATGTAGATGTCTATGGACCACAGCAACCACTTACCATCAGGTGGACTGTGTGTTCTATCCTATATAAAAAGCCAAAATGATATTCCCACTCACTGGCTTCTAATTTCAACTTAAGTATTACTTATATGTGTGTTAATTATAACTTAATTGTAACTTAAGCTATAAGGATATTATGGCAATAGGGTGGGAAAACTTTTTTAATATCATCACATATGTGGCTGGCTAGAAACTTTGGATTCATTGGAAAGGCATGCTAAAAGGCTTATTGGTGACACCGTCCGTCCGGTTAAAACCGGTCTTACCAGCCCCAAATACCGGCGTAAAGTAGCCAAACTTTCGGTTTTCTACAGGATGCATTTCAGATAGTGTGCGCAGGAATTGCATAAATTAATTCCCCCCTCTCCTTTCCACTATCGGACAAGCAGTCGTTCGGCCTGTCTACCCGTTTCGTCGTTAACTTACCACGCTTTAGAACCGAACAGTTTGATCCATCGTTCGTCATGCGTACAGCAAACGAGTGGAATAAGTTGCCAGCACCTGTCTTTCCATTCGATCACAATGGGCGTTTTCAACGCAAGAGTGAATATGCTTTTGTTAAGTCAGTGCGCTTCACCATTTTATGCTTCATCACCACTAACCATCAGGTGCGATTTTAGTTAAGTACTAGGCTGACTTAGAATAGTAAAAAGTGGTAGAATGCCCATTTGTATATTCTGACGTAACACAAACTTAAGGATAACTTTATTTGTCAGACTTTTTTTTGATATTTTTTCTTTCTATTAGGTTAATAATAAGGTTCTTACCGGTGTAGTAAATGACGAAATAAACCCTGCAAGTACCTTTTTATCATTTTAAGATTTTTTTTAAAAATAAATGTCTATTTTTAGGTGTTACGTCCGAGGAGACTGCAGAGGTATCAGAGGCATGCTGCACCCACGGGAAATACCAGGCGATGGGTATGGCATCGCCGCAAGCCTGTTCAAGTGTCACCGCCCCAGAAGATGTCGAGACGGAATTCCTCGACACATGTGTTGCATCAGCGAAGAGTTGTTGTGAGGAGCAGTTTTTGTAAGTGACGTACACTTTCTCCGCTCTTTCTGAAGAGTTTCCCGGATTCACTCCAGATTTTTTATAGTGTAATTATGCAACATTCATTCATTAATAACTTGACCGTAGCGGTACTTTTTATAGTGGGGAAATCCCCATCGGTACATTTCGCTGCGGTAAAGGTTAAGCCGGAAATTTACTGGCTGAAACTTCACGGTAGTTACCATCAGCCTAAACTAGATATCGTTTGCCATCCAAACAATACGTTGGTGGTTGCACACAGCGGCACTTAACCTTGCCATTACTTAATATTATGAAGTCATTATCGTGATTTAGTTCCATAGTATTCATGGTATTTATTGAACAGTTTGTAAATAACTTCACTACAGCGCCACCTATCGAGGTCCTGGTGTGATTATGAACTATAAAGTAAAAAAGTTACAGCCTATATAGGTCCCAGTCCCAGTCTAGGCACAGGCCTCCTCTTATTTCTTAGAAGACTTAAGGGCAAGGAAATGTGCGCTGCTCTGCCCTATTGCGAATTGGTGGACTTCACATGTCTTCGAATTCATCATCATCATCATAACAGCCCTTCACAAGTCCAATGCTGAACATAGGCCTCCCCCAAGGAATGCTACAAAGCACGGTCCTGAGCCACCTGCATCCATCGACTTTCTGCATGTCTTACCAGGTCCTCACTTCATCTAGTGGGGGGTCGCCCTAGACTACGCTCACCAGTACGAGGCGGCCACTCGAGGACCTTTTTTCTCCATCGCTTGTTGGTTCTTCGAGCTATACGGCTGGTCCATTGCCACTTCAGCTTACTAACCCGTTGGGCTATGTCGGTCACTCTGGTTCTACTGCCAATATCCTCATTTCTAAGTTTATTACGCAGAGAAACCCCCTTTCCATGGTTTGCTGAGCGACCTTGAGCTTCCTCATACGGCCAGCAGTCTGCGAAATACTAATTTTTAATTCCACAAACATGCAGGTTTCCACACGACGTTTTCCTTTACCTCCGAACACGTGGTAAATAAAAGCACTTACATCTGCAATTAACAATTTAATTAGTGCCAGCGGGGCATAAACCAGGTTCGCTCGCTTATTATGATACTTACCACGAGTGTTAATCTCCTGAGCGGCTACCACGGCTCTATGATCCATCTATGAATCAACGTCTCGACAAAACTAATACGAATTTAATTAAAAAAATTAAAATGTGACCTAAATGTGTCAAGTCGTTCAAGTTTTACACGATCAATTAGTAACGCACTAACGAATATAATATATGAAGGTAGAATGCTTTTAAATCCACGAATAATGGCAATGATTTTCGATAACAAAACTTGTAAGGTTAAGAAGTTGGACAGATTATTTCGGTTCTTTAAATGTATCCATTGTTACTCTTCCACACTCCTTTTTGTTAGGCAGATCACAATAACATAACATACGTGGTAGAGCCATGCAGCTTTATTGTGGTTGTAGAACGATTGGGTCGGGCCGACCAGAGAAGTGCCCCGCTCTCACAGAATATCAAATAGCAGCTCAATGCCGCTGTGTTTCGTATAGTGAGTGTAGAGATTCGGAGACCCTTTTTTACTGGAAACGAGGCATTCCACCTTAGTCCTCAGGGGTTACAACGCATCTGCATTTTGATTCTTAATCGAGGACACTAATTTGATTTCTTATCAAGGATAAACGTAGATGTTTATGGGCCATAGCATCCAATTACCATCAGGTAGAGTGTGTGCTCGTTTGTCACCCTTATTCTATTAAAATAATGTCTTGCGCTTCTTGCACTCGCTGCCGCTGTTTCCCGTCGCCAGTCCGGATATTTACACATGTTATAATGACTATAACATAATATGTAAATATCCGGACTGTAACTAATGGGTGATCTCTTCTCTGGTGGATTTCTAGCATTTCATCCAACACAGACGGGGCGAAATGGGATGATGGATTTTCTTACGCTGTCACCACACGACGTTCATTCCTGACTAATGTAAAAATTGTAGGTAGTATATTTTATAAAAACTTTTTTATTTATTTTAGGGAAAAAGATGATTGTATAGCTGGTATGAAAATGGCACCAAAGAAGCAATGTGCTATACCTAAAACCGACATTGGAAAGGTATGTATTGAGAAGTACGAACTTAAATAAATTATTTATATACGAAACTCTTGCAACGATAACTAATAATGGAACTAAAAGGATTAGTTCTAATTGTTAAAACGCTGTCAGTGTAAAACAGCTGCCTAAACAAAACTTTACAAAACTATACTATAAAGAGAAGCCCTAAAGTAAAGAAGAAGAAAATTGTATACTAAGCTTACACATTTTCGCATGTAGAGTGTTATTTAATACGTAAACATGCATTGTTTGTATTAAACGTGTTTCGTTAGAAACTTAAAAACTGTGCGTCGGTATGCAGCGGTCTGAGTAATTTATATTTGGCATAGACGATTTCTGACGCCATTTTTTACTCGATTTTTTACCTTACTCGATTCTTACAACAGCCACGATAAGTTCCTTCTTTAGTAGCCTGTAAAAGTGAACCACTGGATTGGGCCCCGGGGGGGGGGGGGGGATTTTCTATAATCGTCACGGCGTCGGTAGATTGTCGATCTCAGTCAAAGATATTATATTACTATCTTTGGTCGCAGTACGTGTCTATGTCTATTGCCACTTACACTGCTCTCCTACACTGGTCTAGATATTTTACATCTAATTTATACCAGATGATGGTAGCGCCATCTATCGGGAGTCATGAGATTTTACTGGCTTTTCCCATAGTTGTCGCTTACGGCACTCTTACGACGGAATTGGTTGATGGATTCTCTTACGTTGCCTCCACACGGCGACAGAGTAAGTCTTTTGGGGTGCCACCTACATTACGACCCATTCGTGCTACAACCATAATTATAGTTGTAGCACGAATGGGTTGTAGCACGGATCGGCTCGACCGGGGAAGGACCACGCTCTCACAGAATACCAGCGTAAAATAGCAGCTGAATGCTGCTGTGTTTCGTATGGTGAGTGTAAAGGACCGGAAAACCGTTTTACTGGAATCGAGGCATTCCCATTCGTCATTCCCTCTTTGTCCTCTGGGGTGACAACGCATCTGCGTTTTGATTCTTAATCGAGGTCAAATGTAGATGTCTAAGGGACACAGCATCCACTTACCATCAGGCGCACTGTATGCTCGTTTGTCACGTTTATTCTATTAAAAATAACCTCTTACCCTAAATAATTTTGCTAATACAAAGGAAAATACGTATTATAAATGCCATACAAATGCTTATATGCTGCAGACATGCTGTGATGAATGTTCCTTCGGGAGATGGTCTGGCGAATCCCAGGGCAAGGAAGCATGTGGAAGTCCTGCCGAGGACGGAATGAGTCCGCAAACAACACTCCGTAAGAATGCTTTCTACCAATGCTGTTTGGTGAGTGGTAACATATTTTTCAGTATTTTGTTATCAACATAACATAACTAAGTATATAAACTAGTGTGTATTGTCATAGTAATTTAGAAACCTATCATGTATAGGTTCCGTAAGTTCGTCGTTCACTGCTGACCGAAAGGGGAATCTTAATGACACTCAGCGGACTATGGAGTTTGCTTTGATCTAAGAGCTGTTCGCTTCTTTATCAAACGTGTGTATATTATTATTGTTATGGTAGAACTATATCATTGATCGCGCACGAAAGGGTTGGTCCCACCGGGGAAGGACGGTGCTCTCACACAATATCAGCTTATAATAGCAGCTCAATACTGCTGTTTCGTATGATTCAGATGATTTTGTTGGTTACAAATATTTTTTAGATGAGCCTAAAGTTATAATGGAGAATGTTATTATATCTTAAAATACTATTTTTTTACAAGGCTAAGATATTTTGTATTTTTAAACGAAATATGTTTTAGCCTAAGTTACGATATGGCGGCGATCGAAAGACTTTTTAAAAAATATAATTAATTTAATTTCACAAAAGTAACAAAAAGAATTAATTCAAAGTTCAAACAAATTGTAAATTTATAAAAAAAGAAGTTAAGTTATGCGTGGATGGTGTCAGACTGCGAGACAGTTGCATTGTTTCCACGATGATACTTTTCGCAGCGCAAGCGTTCCACATATGTTCATTGTTATGTTCGACTGCTATATCAGCCCGATTCCAGGGTTACGACACGTTAACTCTTCCCTCCTTAAGTTGGAAGCTGGTTTTACGGCTTCCAGGAGCGTCCTCGCGACTTGCTTTGCTTGGACGCTTATTCCAATTGTATATCTTCCAGATTGCAAAAGATGCTGCTAGTATGTAGAGGAGCACTGTAGACCAGCTGGGAATTGCCATCATATATGACCAGTTCCAGGTTTCTATTTCTTGAATATCTTCAACTTTGTTCATAAGTTCATGGACACTATCTAGTGAGATGTCTTCCAGATGTATCTCGTACTGGACTTCTTCCTGGTGTATTAGGTTCTCGTTGGGTAGAGGGATGACTTCGTCCATAGAGATGCTGCTAGTGTGTGTTCTTATCGTTGTATTCATGACATTAACTTGACAGTCCTGTGTTAGGTTGATGAAGAATGTTCCTGATAGTTTTCTATACTCTGTTTTCTGTCCGCATTGGGTTTTTATAATTTCTGGTTCCGTTGATACTACCAACCACTTATTTTCTTTAATCTTCTGCAACTTTCCTCGCTTCAGATTCATACGTGCCCGAGTGCAGTTACCATCTTTATGCTTGATGAGTGAGATGATGCAATCTTCAGATTTCTCTATGGCTCTAGTATCCAGTGATTTGCAGAGCCAGGTGTCTTCTGACAGCTTCTTGCAATCTTCTTCCAGGTAGGCGTACTCATCGCTTCCAAGTGCGAGGAATTTGGATTTGGGTATAATGGTTAGGTTTAGGTTGTTTGGCAAGGAATATATATGTATATAATCATATAATGTAGGTTGGATGGATGGGATTTCTAATATAAATGTTAAAGAATGTTCTGTGCTATAGACTTTCACGCTAATAGACTTTTCTATCTTATGAATATTTTCAATACTAATCTCCTCGACTGGATATAGTGAAAAGTTATTCTGCAAATTACTAAGTTCCGAAATTAAATTACGTGTGCTTATAATACTAGGGTGCATTATACCTAATTGCGCGAATGCCATAGCATCTTCGAGCAGCATTAACTTATCTAAAATAATCTGTAAACTAAAACTTATTTGAACGTATATCTCTAAAAAGTGCAGCTGGTTTCTTACTGTATCGGAATTAATTGTAATGTTTTTCAGTATAGATGTTAATCTTTTTTGGTTATCATCTATCTTGCCTAGTTGTTTCGAAAATTCCTTTATGGTATTTTCAGCCAAAGATAGCGTTCGCTTCTGCGAGCTTTGGGTTTTGTGGACCGAATTACGAATTTTGTTGATTTCGTTTTCAAATCGAATAGCGTCTTCGTTATCTAAATTACCAGTTATTAATTTCACTACGGAACCTAGTCCATTTATAATACCGCGTCTAAATCTAATTCTAGGTGCAATAAAAATTAATTTCTTACTAATTAAATCTAACTTATGTTCTATCTGGTCCCTATATGTTTTGTGTAATTCTTCTGATGTGGTGTTAATTTCAATTGCTTTAGCACTTGCGTATAATGCCATTAATTTTATCGATACTAGATTCAAGTGGGTAACATTATACACACAAGCAAGGTTGAAGGAATCAGTCTGTTTCAGAATATGACCTTGTCTAAGTAATAGAACTCCGTTCGTATTGTCTACGGGTTGAAATGTTATGTCGGATCTTGCCTGGAACACGAAGGCTCCGAAGATGGTTGTCCTGGAACAAGATGGGGTCTTCGTAGAAGTTTGAAATGTACCCGAATAGACTTAGAATTAGGATGATTTCCTACTATCTCTGCTACATTATTAGGATGTAAGTGAATAATCTTATAGGGTCCTTTAAATACCGGTTTAGTTTTGTCGTTTCTCGCTGTTTTGGCTACCTGCTTATAAACTGTTTCACCTACCTTGAATGATATTTCCTCTGCTGCCTGGTTTCGCTTCGCTATTACCTGTTCCTTGTTTTTGGCCATGTGCGCTGACACACACTCCTGAACAGCTTCTGCATGCATTTTGTGCTTGATAACATAGTCCTGGTAAAACTGCTTAGGATAATGTAACTCTAGTGGATTTCTAGAAGCTGTATGTCCAAATAGTAACTCGTGTGGAGTATATTCTGTTGCTGAGTGGATTGAGTTATTGTAAGCAATGACTGAAAATTTCATGATTAATTGTATGGGGTCCTCTTTGTTTGTCATTCGTTGGATTCTGATAATCTCTCCTATGGTGGAATGAAAACGTTCTATGGGTGAGTTTGAATTTGGATTGTATGGAGTCGTGAAGTGAATGTTAATACCATGTAAAGCGCACATCTCCTTTATAATTTCATTATCGAATTTACTGTCCGAATCCGTTGTAATTTTATGAGGAATTCCTAAAACTGAGAACACCTGAAATAAAGCTTCAGCTATAAGTACACTACTAGTGGCGTTCAACGGTATTGCTTGGGCGAACTTTGAGAAATTGTCTATAATAGTGAGGAACGTGGCACCGCCTGTCGAATACAGATCCATAAACATATGTTGCATAGGTTTTGTAGGTGTTTCCGTTAAGGCTAATGAAGGTCTAAGCGGGTTTCTTTCATATTTAGCTTGTAAGCAGATACTACATTGATTTATGAATGTTTGGATTGTGAGTAGCATGTGAGGCCAGTGGTAGTTTCTATGAATTTGCTTATATGTTTCCCAAGAATTAAGTGTTTCTTGGTGTGCTATCGCATCAATCGCGGTACCGCTTAATCTACTCTTTATGAGACATATAATTGCCGGATGTACCCTGGCAGTATCATCCAAAAGATTAAGGATATTTTCGATTTCTCTGATGTAATGATTTAATCTCTTTGTATTGCCATCGTACTTTGGCATCAATTCCGCGATCATCTTAAAGTTGGCTGCATCGTCGTTAAGAAAAGACATTTTTAAATCAATAATTAAACACTTTATAAGTTTAAAAGTTGGGGCTCTGTGCCTGCCTATTTGCGATTTTAGCTATAAGACAAATACACTATCGAACCTCAACTAAGAGTCTACAGCGATTTTAGCTGTTAGACTTATCCTATGCTATCTATTTGAGCTATAAGACGTATATCTAATCTCCTAACTAAATGTCTATAGCGATTTTAGCTTTTAGACAGAATTACATATACTACTTAAACTAAATACGGAAGGAAATAGAGCAAAGGAACTTGAAATAGCGAGAGTACTCACCAAAGCGCCTTCTGCATCTCCTCACGGGTCTGAGTCAGCTCCACGTGAAGTCTTCGTCCGTGCCGCCGTCGTAGATCCGAAGTCGCGATTTATACGATCGAAACCGTTCAATTGGTCGAAGGTTCTACCAATTGTCGCGAAAGACCGACTGCGCCAGTTACGATATGGCGGCGATCGAAAGACTTTTTAAAAAATATAATTAATTTAATTTCACAAAAGTAACAAAAAAGAATTAATTCAAAGTTCAAACAAATTGTAAATTTATAAAAAAAGAAGTTAAGTTATGCGTGGATGGTGTCAGACTGCGAGACAGTTGCATTGTTTCCACGATGATACTTTTCGCAGCGCAAGCGTTCCACATATGTTCATTGTTATGTTCGACTGCTATATCAGCCCGATTCCAGGGTTACGACACGTTAACTCCTATACTGAGAAAATATTTGGCTACTAAGCGATTTAGATAGCTGCTAATACTGATCAGTACACTCGTGCGAGTGAGGCAGGATAATGGACATGAATATTCATAATCATATGGATTTGTTCCGACGTTCACGGTTGTCGCCAAAATGTACGAAATTAGTCAACAAAGACAGTTTAAATATTTAAAGAACGAAACACGAAGTTTCCACCACACGAAATTTAATTCCGAACTGAAAATAGATTAAAAATTGCTGACTTAGAATACACGGAAACCGTATCACGCTTGGATTATCGGTGAATGGCCGGCTTAAAACAAGACCTACGTAATTCCATTTTTGTACAACTGATGGGCGACTTAGAAATGTGGAATTTAGGGAAGTTACGCTGATTGTTAGCATGTTATACGAGTACAATGAATGTGTTCCAGTAAAACGAATATGATTTACTCAGTAATGGTAATTTAAAATAATGTTTCAAGGTTTTTCTATTTTGTGTATATTTAAAAGTACAATAATATATTTACTGCTTTTCAAAGTATCCCCCGTTACATTTTAAACACTTTTTATACGTCCAAACCATTTTTGATAACATAAGAACCATTGGTGTGTTTTTCACGTGCTGATTGAAAGCTATCACAACCTCTTCTGGTTCCATATTAGTCTAACATGTCATTAATCTTTGATTTTTGGTAAAATAAAAAATCGCACGCACCTTGTCCACGGTGTGCGCTCAAGCATGGTTATGGTGCAATAGGATGCGACTTCTTGGTATTTGGTATTTCCCTAACTTTATCAAAGACACTAGGCAATTAAATGGTGGTACTTATACTTTTCAACATTAACTGTCCATTGCTCATAAAATGGGATCGTGTAGATATATAGGACCCATCTGGAATTAAAAAAATTACGTTTTTGCCCACGCTTCTTGCCTGCCTCAATTTTGTTGGTCCGCTGTCGCCTTCGAACATTCATACAGGAGACTGTTGCTTTTTTCCGGAATATAACAATATATCGATGTTTGATCTCCCTGTCACAATATCATACACAGCATTTTAACATCCGTAAACATATTTTAATATATATTTACACCAATCAACTTGATTCCGTGTTAGTTCTGGGGTGAGTTCATGAGAAATCCAGCGGAAGCAAATTTTTTTAACTTTTAAATGTTAATGTAAAGTTTTTTTTGAATTAGCTGATATGAATTCGCAAATGTTGTCCACATAGATGATGCGCCGGTTATCTTCAATTAATCGCCTGGCAGTAGTCACATTTTCCTCACCGTTCGACAGTTTAGGGTCGACCTTCACGACATTCATAACGAAGAGAAACATGGCCACGATCAAACTTTGCATACCAACGCCTCATCGTCAACATTACAGTTCTTCATAAGTTCACTGCTGGACATAGGCCTCTCCCAAGGTATGCCACAAAGCACGGTCCTTAGCCATCTGCATCCATCGACTTCCTGCATGTCTTACCAGGTTGTGATTCGATCTAGTAGGGGTCGCCCCTAACTTCGTCTATCTTTCTTCTATCTATCTTTCTGCCCCATCGGTTGTCGGTTATTCAAGCTAAATCACCATTGCTACTTCAGCTTACTAATCCGTGGGGCTATGTCGGTTACTCTGGTTCTACTGCGAGTATCCTCATTTCTAAGTTTATCACGCAGAGAAACCCCGAGTATAACCCTCTCCATAGCTCGCTGAGCAACTTTGAGCTTCCTCATACGGCCAGCAGTGAAGTGACCGATGGCTTACGGTGCTCAAATGAGGTGCTTCCCTCTCGAAAGCATTTTGTAGGACGGAGTATAAAAATTCATCGCTGTAATCCCCAAAGTCTTTTATCGCGTTAATTCCATTTTTGTCACGGATGACGAATTTAAACTTGCAAACTTGACGAATTTAAAAAGCAATTGACACGCGACTTCCCGCAAAATATTGTTTTAATCGATATAATGTGAGTTTCTTATGTTTTAAAAAATATAACGTTCGAAATTTAAGAGATTTATGAGCGGCCAGGAGCGCGGAACTTTCAGTATGCCATGTACTTACACGACACTCAGTAACTGAAGGAACTTTCATGACGGCACACAAAGTTCATAAAAATATGTGTAATAGAAGATGGACAATCTTCTATTACACATATTTTTCTTAAATATCTTGCTTTTTAGGAAGCAACAAATGAACCTGAAACTACTACTGAGACGACAACAGAAAATAAAATGGAGACAACTACAGAGAAGAAGAAAGAAGAGAAAAAAGAAAAATGTCAGAAGGACTCTTGTGATCAAATCTGTAAAGATGACGATGGTAAAGTGACTTGTCAGTGTCGAAAAGGATTTAGATTGCAGTCTGATAATAAAACTTGCAAAGGTATTTACACATCGTAACCTTTATTTATTTATCATGGTAGATAAACATTGAAAATTATTAGGAAGTGAATATCTAATTCGAAAATATCTAAATAAATAAATATATGTTTACTAGCTGATACCAGCTCGCTTCGTAAAATATAAAGAAAACAACATTTTTGATGAGACTAACGTAAGATTCGTTCTTAGTGAGCGTCTACATTGCGAAATGAGTAACTATACTAAATTTCAAATCAATCGGGTGTGTAGTTTTAAAAACATCATGATGCGTCAATCAGTTAGTGGTATGTCACTTATATATACTGGTGACCTTTTTTACCGTCTGGAAAAAATAAGGTGTAACATGTGAACGGAGTGGAGGAGGAGGAGGATATATATATATATATATATATATATATATATATATATATATATAGTACCTGGATGGCTGAGTTTTCGGCTCGGTTTTTTTTTATTTATTTTATTTATTTAATTCTTTATTTGCGCAATATGGGTACAATGGTGTAACAGTGGTCGATTTACTTTGTTGATCGCCATATTTAGGCTCATGCCATGCAAAAATTCTTAATTTTATGCTATAGATTAAATTAAAATTATTACATATCAAATCATAGTGTCTAAATAATTATTAAAATAATGTCAAATGAGATTACCTAATTAATACACAATGTCAACTTTGTAAAATAATGTCACATAAAATGTCTAATTAATGTCACAGTACCACTAAGCCGGTTACAATACTGCATCTATTAATTTGTCTTCAAGAAATTCCCTTACCGAATAATATGATTTTTCTAAAAGTAGTGTCTTCACTTTTTTTTTAAATAAATTATTATTTGAAATTTCAAGCAGAGCGTTGTGTAAATGATTATACACTCTCGGAATTAAAATTATTACATATCAAATCATAGTGTCTAAATAATTATTAAAATAATGTCAAATGAGATTACCTAATTAATACACAATGTCAACTTTGTAAAATAATGTCACATAAAATGTCTAATTAATGTCACAGTACCACTAAGCCGGTTACAATACTGCATCTATTAATTTGTTTTCAAGAAATTCCCTTACCGAATAATATGATTTTTCTAAAAGTAGTGTCTTCACTTTTTTTTTAAATAAATTATTATTTGAAATTTCAAGCAGAGCGTTGTGTAAATGATTATACACTCTCGGAATCATACTAAATACACCGCTGTTTAAAAGTTTAGTTTTGTTATACATGAAGCTTATTTGGAAAGGGTGTCTCTTGCTTTTTAATTTAACAAATAAGTTACTATTATTTCTTACAAATAGCACCATATCCAGTATATAAATACACGGTAGTGTCAATATTTTAATCTTTGAAAATATCGACCTACAGCTCTCGGTTTGTTTCATTCTGTATATAGTCCGAACGCATCTCTTTTGCGCCCTAAAGACCAACTCTTTTCCCACAGAGTCGCCCCAAAACATAACACCATACATTAAAAAAGTCCATGGTAAGCCGTTAAAACTGTGGATGTACTGGCAGTTCTGGACAACATGTTAATTACATTTAGATACAAATTAAATACTGATACATGAATAATATTTTTGATCGCTTAATTGATTTAAAATTTATTTTTAAAAAACACTAAAAAAAGTCCCGAAATAATAAATTTTCTTACAAAAGAAGGGAACTTGAAAAAAAACGGCAAACAGTCGGACCGAAGACAGGACGCAAACCAATGCATTACGATTTTGCGACGGCTCAATATCCACTTGATCTATTACGATCATTAACACAGTGTCATAATTTAGCTTCTTATATTGTAGCAGTTTTTCATTGCTTGAAAACACGGACAAATAGACATTTTCTAAAAATAAATCCTAGCCAGATCGATTTATTGCCCCCCGAAACTCTCTGGACACTGAATTTTATGAAAATCGTTGGAGCTGTTTCCGAGATTCCGATATATATATATATATATATATATATATATATATATATATATATATATATATATATATAGTTATTTGTGATAGTTCCTTTCATAGATGGTCCTTATCTCCTGGGAGTCAGTGAAAATTAATAACACTAAATAAAATAGCAATGCTTGCACTTCTGTGTTGCGATTACAAGTGTATAGAGAGCCATAATTAATATATTCCCTCTTAGTCCTCAGAGGTGACAACGTTGTAGACTTCTTTGTTTGAAGTTGGCTGCTGATGTCCATGGACTGCAGTAGCCGCTTAACATAAGGTAGACTGCAAGCTCATTTGTCACTTCTGCTTCATAAAGCAGTGGTTAAACGTTTAGTCGCGGCAGTGCTGGGCTGGTTCGAATCCCTCGCAAAACAAGTGGTTATAATATAACATAAACACCCACGCCTGTCACCCAGAGGGGTACAGAAGCTACGGACTTCCATTTGACACGATTATGACACAGCTCTCTCCCCTCCTCCATCCATATACCTACGCATACATGCTAGTCAGTTAAGGGTACTCTTAATCTGGCCCATTTTCAATATATCGCTTTGATCAATAAACTTTCTTCTAGGACGTCCCTCCGACTCTTGCTTTTACTTTTGCAACATACATTGGCTTTGTCATTCTTTTCTTGTGCATTGTTTCTACATGGCCAAATCATCCAAGCGTTTCTTTCTTAATCCTGGTTACAACATCATCTTGCAAACTGCACTTTTCTCTTCTCACACAATTTCGTAACCTGTCATTCAGATTCAGCCGTAACGTACTCCTGTGACCACAAGTACTGCAGTGATTATATGGCATACGAAAATTTTTATCGATCTGGATGTGTGTACTTGTGCAATATAATATTATGTGCGTTAACTGCCTCCACGTTCCAAGAAAAATCCTACATTGGGGGTAGATTTCTTATTAAGAAAAAGAAAAAACTTAATGTCTATATTTCTTTTCACGAAGCAGTAGTGTACAAAAAAGCTTTACGGAACACTGTAAAATAGTAACAGTTTACTTCTGGACATGGATTGTGTGACGTTATAATGACTTATTTACCAGGCAGATTGACAATGGAATCAGTCTCCCTATCGATCTAAGCATTTTAAGTCTGATATACAATGTTCCTTTGCCAAATTACAATTACAATTACAAATGTTATTTTGCCAAATTAAATGCAATTGATATAAATTATTTTGTTTTATTTCATTTGCTAGTGTATCCGCGCTTTTCAAGTAAGTATGTTTACACTGTCATAGCTCCTAAACTATCTAACTCAGAGTTAAGATTTAAATGTGCATTTATAGAAAATATCCTGTATTATAATAAAAACAAGTAAAAAAAATTGGTTAACACGACGGTTTTTTTTAAAGCTAAGAATCTGAAAAACAACATCAATTTGTTGTCTAATTTATTTTTTCAAAAATGTTTTTTACTAATACTAAAAAATTAAAAAATAATATTTTGAATCTAGATTTATTATCTACACTATTAACTAACATTTGAGACCAATTTTGTTTTTGAAAGTCTTCTACTTGGGTAGATATTGTTAAATTAATACAAGCATCTATGCTTCGCCAACAATTTTTTTAAAGTGCTGCCATTTTTTTATTGATGGCGAAAAAAAATCATTGATCCCTGATTTGTCGATAAAATTAATTGTATTTTAACCCCTTAAAGTATCGGACATCGGAAACCGGACACCCTGTATAAAACCATGTTGGTTATATCCCTTGCCATCGGAGGCTTCGAGATTTTTCAAGTATTTTCCATCAACTTCTCCTACAACTCCCACGGGATGATATGTGGTAGATTTTTTTAGATCGCCTAGTGGGAAACAGATAACCAGAAATCATTTTAAAGGTAAGGAAGCAGTCCTTATTTCTTTAGATACTAATTATTAATATATTTTTAGATATCAACGAATGTAGAGAGATCTTAGACGATTTGTGTACCGAAGAGGACACTGTTTGCCACAACACTGTTGGGTCCTTTAAGTGCGTGCCTATCAAGAAGAGAGATGTTAGTCTTAGTTGCCCGCCAGGCTTTAAGCGGAACGTACTTAACCAAGTATGTGATGGTGAGTTTGCAATATTGATTTGTTTTCAATTACCCCTTCTATCATCATCATCATCTTAATACATGTAAATTACGTGTCACGTTGTTTGTCCGCGATGGACTGCTAAACTACTTAACCGATTTTAATCAAATTTGCACACCGTGTGCATTTTGGTCCAACTTGAGAGATAGGATAGTTTTTTGCCCATGAGTGACCCTAATTTTTTTTGCGAATTTAAGTATTTTTAATAGGACATGACAAAGGGTCGTCGAAAATGGCAGAACAACGTCTGCCTGGCAAGCTAGTATATTTAAAAGTTTCACCTTAAGAGGATAGAGTAAGTCAGCTCAAATTCTAATTTCGCCCCCACTTCCCCGCGCGTCGTATGCTATGTACCGACATGTTTGTAATCACTAATACTGTAAGTAGATAGGTCGTTAGATACTTATTTCATTAGGTTTATCATATTTATGCCAGTTTCTTAACGCCAACCCAGTCACTTCTTAATTTTATAACGGTTATTTCCCATTTTAATATTACGTCGTCCTGTTGCGTAATGTGTATTCTGATCGTAAGCGACACAACTTCTTCCTTCAAAAGCCGGAGCGATACTAACAGGGCGACAGGAATCAAGCTTACGCGCCGATAGTTTAGGTAATTTCTTTTTACAGTGAAAATAATGGTATTTTAAAAAAAGTAAATAACATAAGCACTGCTTTATAGTTAGTCCAGTTAGTATGCAAAGTTTCATGATCTTATTTAAAGTATTTTATGAATAACAGCGGTTTATTGTTTATTTTGAAGGTAACTTTGGATTTTTTTTTCTATCGAGAAAATTTTACGGAATCGTGTTTTCGTCTAACATAGTCCTTAACATTAATCCTCAACTTTACCATATATTAATTTCAAAATTAATGCTGCAATATTTTCGGCATAACGAAGGATCTTGCTAAGCCATTTGACATTATATTTCCCCTTAAGCAGTATGCGTCTCTGTCATAATTTGATTTCTTTCACCGTAACCCGACCGAACACCGAGTAGTGGCGGTGTAAGAATATCCACTGCCCTATACCGTCCCGAGGGTGTTCTAAGAGGCGACAGAGTTAAACAATTCAGGAGAGCAGCGTCTTCCGAATAACGACTAAAAATAAAAAATGCGGTTGCCAGCCAGTACCAAGCCTGACTGCTAACCGTGGCAACTATGGAAAATAGCCCCCCTATTAAGATCTATAAGCTATATCAGAAATATAATACGTTAAAACTATTTCGTCATCGACACTCATTATAAGGTATGTAATATATTAATAAATATAAACCTATAACAATTCTTGTATATATATATAATCGGAATCTCGGAAACGGCTCCAACGATTTTCATAAAATTTAGTGCCCAGGGAGGTTTCGGGGGCAATAAATCGATCTAGCTAGGATTTATTTTTAGAAAATGTTTTTTGTCCGTGTTTTCAGGCGATGAAAAACTGATACAGTATAAGAAGGTAAATTTTGACACTTTGTTAATGATCGTAATAGCTCAAGTGGATATCGAACGGTCGCGAAATCGTAATGCCTAGATTCGCGTCCTGTCTTCGGTCCAACTTTTTTCCTTTTTTTTTCAAGTTTCCTTCTTTTGTGAGAAAATCTATTAAATCTATTATTTCGATCCCTTTTTTTAGTATTTTTTAAAAATGTGAAAATATTAATTAAACTAATTGCACTCATGATTTTTTATTCAAATAACCAGTTCAGTTTTTTCTATTATGTCAATAAGATCAAAAAATATTATTCATGTTTTAATTTGTATCTAAATGTAATTTAAAAAAAAAACTCGGTCATCCAGATACTATTACTACTATAATATCCATAAAATCTTATATACTTCTACTCAAATTTATGACAGAGCTATGGGAGTAGTTGGGCCGTCTCGCTGCTCCTTGTTGCAGACTTGATATGACGAAATATTTTTCTCAGATATGTAGGCTTCCTCACGATTGAACTGCCAAGTATAATAATTAAAAAGTACCATACATTAATAATAAACACTAAGTTGTGTGTAATAAATTAAAATTTCGAAAATATAATTAATTACATATTTTTTGAATTCATGCTAATATAATATGAAATTCAAACTATGTTGGTACAAGTAATGAAAGATAGTGTTGTGAAAATATTTGAAAATTTTGCTTGTTAAATAATTTCTTTCAGATATTAATGAGTGTCAACTTCCTCGACCTCCGTGCCCAAAGTACCTGTGCGAGAATACCATCGGCGGGTATAAATGTGCTGGAAAACCAGGCAAGCCTTTCACTGAAGCTATTCCTGGTGTTACTACAGAAGCAGAACCAACTACACCTACTACAAAAAATGACATATGCCCACCTGGTTTCAGGGCTGGGCCTGACGATGAATGTCTTGGTAAGTTTTAGTCTGCTTTTTCGCAGTTGGTATCTCTCTATACGAATGGGTTTTAATAACTTACGTCTTAATCACTACAAAGCAAATATACATTGAAAATTGTCACTGTAGCACAGAACTACCACGAAGTATTTGTTAGAGAGTATACCATTACTGTTACGGAGACTTAGGGGACTCCTTTAATTAGAAAGACATTTCTTAAACCATAGTTGAAACCCGGGAGTATTCAATTAACGACGTTTCGTAAAAGACGGTTAGACTTTAAACATGTATTTGTTCAAGCCTTTAAGGTATACACTATTTCGTAAAAGTATGAAATATAGTACATTTTTTCAGTGTAGCGTACTCTCTAAGTACCTTTACAATTGTATTTTGTTTCACTGGTATTCCGTGAGAACACGATCCTTCCCAGGTCGAGCCGAACCATTCGTTTTACAACAATAATATCGCTGCAACATGGCTCTACTACGTACAATATAAAGTAAAGTAAATGTAAAATTACAGCCTATATACGTCCCACTGCTGGGCACAGGCCTCCCCTCATTTCTGAGAAGGTTTTAGGGCAAGGAAGTGTCCGCCGCGCTGTCCCCATTGGGTGTTGGCGAACTTCACATGTCTTCGAAATATTTTTTTCTTATTCCTCAGACAGGCAGGTTTCCTCACGATGGTTTCCTTCACCGTCGAGCACGTGGTAAATCATCACTTAAAATTGCAATTAACAATTTCATTAGTGTCGGCGAGGATCGAACCCGGGTTACTCGCGTTCTGTTATATTTACAGCGAGCGTTAACCATCTGAGCTACCACGGCTCTACGTAAAGACGTACAATATACATACTGTGACGAGCTTAATAACGTTCGTGACAATAAAAATTGCCGATTGAATTACCAAAATTGACACTTTAATTACTGAACACCAATTAAAACCTAAATCACACTAATAATTATTCAGACTTAACACCTTAGTTCACTTTGTTTCACTCCGAAAGCTTCGCTCGTATCGCCAATTCAATACTGCCCCGGACATGGCCCTAAACAGCTTTATATAGGCCTTTTCCACCGAAACATCTAAAATGTTCCAGCAAATACCGGTCCCGACCGACTAAATGTAGAAAAATCGAGTGTAGAGTTTTCTAGAAAGCTTAGTTCTTCTACTCGATACTAGATGGCGCTGGAGGTGGAAGGTTCTAGCATGGCATTTTCTAGAAGACTCTCTTCACTCTGCTAACCAACACTAGATGGCGCTAGGGGCATTAACTATGGCTTGCAACAATATAATATATCGGGTAGTGGGGGTGTGAGAATATCTACTAACCCGTACCATCGTAAGAGATGACAGAAGGAATTCAAACAGGAGATGGGCAGCAGCCTCTTCTTGATGCAACTCAAAATTTGCCTTATGAGGCATACAATAATAAAAACTGCTATTGCACACCTGCCTGGCAAGCGTGGCAACTATGGCAAATATCCGCCTATGGCAAATCATTTATTTGCCATATCCAACTATGGCAAATACATTAGAAGCCTTAGTTCAGAAATCTACTTTTAATAATCTACATAGTTATAGTTATGATTAATAACTGTGGAAAGCACCCGGTTCTAATTCTTCACCAAGCGCCTTGGGCTCGAATATATGCCAAAGCCAACATGTAAAAACACACATTTTGTTAATCAAATAATGTCCAAAAAATGCGAGCTAAGAGAAAATCTTCCTTCTACAATTCTTCTGACGTTTATCTGTATGCGATTCATTTACCTAAAAAAACCACCTCGACCACCAAACAAATCTCAAACTTTGTAATATTTTGTAGATATCGACGAATGTGAGGAGCGGCTTGACGATTGCCAGCGTTTGTCGCAGCATTGCATCAACACGCATGGCAGTTACTTCTGCCAGGATCACGTGTCGAAGCGTTGTGCACCCGGCTTCAAGGTCAACGCCGTTACTGGAATATGCGAAGGTACCAACATCAAGTAGTTATTTAGCATCAACTCAATTCGATCGGACTCGAATCCATTAGGGGACCCCTAGAGGGTTTATCCACAATTTATTATGAATATTTAGCGACTAAAACCCAAAGTAAGATTAGACCGGCTATAACAAGGTGCAATCGATTAAAGTTGGTTAAGCTTATATTATGTACGGTTAAATTTGTCAAAAATACGAAAGCACGTATCACAGTCCACCTGATGTTAAGTGAATGCTGTGGTCCATAGACACCTGTATCCATTCTCGATTAAGAAGCAAAATGTAGAAGCGTTGTTACTCCAGACAATTCAGATAGAATGCCTCGTTACCAGTAAGAAGCTTCTATTTTACGCTGTAGTTTTTCCCCAGTTGGGCAGACCCTTTCGTGATGCAACCATAACATATCTGCAGCATGGCTCTAACACATTGATCGTTCTTACTTAATTTCATCATTACCTGGGCCATCCATCCTTGAAATGAATGATATCATCAAAGTGTTGTCAATTACGTCTACGTCTTACGTCGCCAACAATGGCCAAAAGTTAGTAGTTTTTTAAATTTTACAGATATCGACGAATGTGAAGAAAGTTCTGAAGTATGCAAACGCACCGAGGTGTGCGTCAATTTGCCTGGAGCCTACAACTGCAAGTCCAAGATCAGCACATTACCTCAGTAAAATATTAGAAACATATTTTAGTTATTTTTAATTTGCCAATCTATTAAAAATACTAGCAGTACTATTAACATTACAAGTATAAGTTCATTATAAGTTCTGATCACAGTGAACAGTTGGTCTCACTATCTTACATGTACAAAAACAGACAGGTGAGAAAGTTGTGCTTGTTCCAATAAATTCATATGGCTTAGAGAGATTTAGAATTAGCATAGTGAAAAAGTTACCATTTCTTCCATATCTTATACAACACAACAATACTAACTATTTATATGGAGCGTTATTTAGACTTATGTCCAGAATAAAATTAAATATTTACTTCTAAAACACTCTCTTTAAATAGTCGCAAATCGTTTAATGAGTGGGAGACGGTAGGAATCCAAAGGAGTAGACAAAAGTTATATGACCTTTACAATAAAAGATCATATAATCATAGTGTTTCATTTATTTTATAGAACATGTAAAAATATTTCAAAATATTTAAAAGAGTGTGTTCCACAGCCAAGTCTTTACATTTAAGAAACTAAGTTAAGAATGGCTCTAATAAAATAAAAATGACTTCTAATATAATCATTAGTGAAACTGGCAAGATAAAATTACACAACTCAAACTTTAACAATAATTTAACAAAAGCAAGTAAAGATTTTGCAACCGCTTTTGAACAATGTTTTACCGACATTCCGATGTTGACTACAAAGTCAATCACTTCCACCCATATTGTCGCCGAACCATTACTCAAACAAAATGTAAATTTACAAAAGTGATATTGTAAAATATTTCAAAGTATTAATACTAAGAAAACAGTAGATCTATGGAGGATTTCCGTTAAAGTTATTGCGTCTATAATACATGCGATCGCACCTCATCTTGCTATTATTTTTAATGTTAGTACCGATTTAAATCAAACTAAAAAAATCTAGATCAAATGTTATTTTTTTTTAAATATAAATAGTTGCTCCATAATAATCAGTTTGGTTTTACAAGGGGTCGCTCGACAACTGATGCCGGTGTTGAGCTAATCAAACATATTTTCTGTGCATGGGAGAATTCAGAAGATGTTTTGGGTATATTTTGTAATGTTCCCAAGAATTTCGACTGTGTTCACCATGAGATATCATTCAGGAAGTTACATCATTATGGTGTAAAAACATAGCGCTTAAGAAGCAGTTCTTCCGGATCGGTAGTATCTATAGGTGTTCCTCAGGGCTCAATTCTTGACCCCTTCCCCTTTTTAGTTTATACTAGCTTACCAGGCAGACGTCGTTCTACCCTTTTTGACAACCCTTTGTCATGTAAAGTCAAAATGCACCAAACTTCACACGGTGTGCAAATTTGATTAAAATCGGATAAGAAGTTTAGGAGTCCATCGCGGACAAACAACGTGACACGTTTTATATATATCAAGATTAATGACTTACTTTACTTGTCAGTTAACCATGATATAGTTTTACTTCGTTGTATTTCCGAATTAAAAAGCAATTACTGAGATATGACGAAGTGATTAATGCTATATCAAAAGTAGTACAATGGTTTAACGTAAATAATTTGCTTTTAAATAGCAATAAAACGAAATGTATTAAATTCAATACACTTAATATTAAACAGTTCGATACCAGTGTGCTTTTAAATGGGGGAGGAGATGGGCCTTGTTGAATCCACTGTTTTTCTCGGAATTGTAGTTGACGTGAAACTTCATTGGGGACCTCATATATCTAAACTTTCTGCAGCATATGTTGTAAAAAAGTTAGAGGCCTAAATGTGTTGAAACAGCTAGATTAGTTTATTTTAGTTATTTCCATAGCATAATGTCATATGCGCCTAAAATTGAAGCTATTTTATTTCCAGAAGAGATAAGAGCAATTTATAACCTCGATTCTAAGGAATCTCTTAGAGAAAATTTTAAAGAAATAATAATATTAGCTTTGACCTCTCAATATATTTACGAAAATTTGATGTGTGTACACAAGAACAAAAATAGTTTAATTATAAATAGTGATATACATTCTGTAAGTACTAGGAACAAGTACAAGTTAGTGATAAAAGTTACTCAACTAAAAAGAGTCAGTAATTTCTTCATGGGGCAATGTATGCGCTTTTACAACAAGTATTTAGTGAAAACTGTTAAGTAAGTGTTATTATAATGCTAAATAATACATGAGTGATAATAATCCTTGTTTCTAAATTGTTTCATAACGATTGTTTAAAATATTATAATGTAAATTGTGCTTTTAAAAAAAGGTCCCGATGGGTTTGTTGCTGGTTCTTCCCAGGACAGATTTTTTTTCCGAATTAGTGGTAAAAGTAAAAAATGACTTTCAATAAGTATTGCATGTAATCTATATCGAATAAAAATGATTATATTCTTCTATTCTATTCTAAATATTCCCGGTAACCACTTTAAGTGACTTTAAGATGCTTTTATAAAGTTCGCGACAGTAAACGAATGGCGGATTCGAAACCACGATTTCACGAGGTTAATTTCACTGAAGATATAATGTAATGCATATATTATAAACTAGCAATGCGCCCCGGCTTTGCACGGGTGATTTCTGGATCTTCACAACAGCTCCACCAACCGGGTTCTGATGAGTTCCTTAAACCATCCAGGAACCCACTCCAATACACACAAAATTCATCAAAATTTGTCGAATCATTTTCGAGTTTTTGCGAGACTAACTGAGGGCAATGATTATATGTAGAGATATAAATTAAATATAATTAATACAGGGCTGTTTGCATACTTTCTGTATCTTTTATAATGTCATTTATTAATGATATTGATATGTTAAGTTATTATAGTTAAGCATATCTAGGAATAAAGCAAGTGCTATTTCAACTTCTTACTTCTTCAACCGCCTGTCAATGTGACCACAATAGAAAGAGAAAACAATTTTAGCATGATTTGTACATGAACGACACGGAAATTAAAAATTATCTCTAAGTAATTAGTCCCATGAGATTTTAATTATCCAGGTTTCACTGTATTTCTAAATTACCTTTAATATAATGTAGCTTTTTATATATGTTGGAATAATTGGTTGTATAAAATGTATCTAAGGTCATTTTAAATAACAGTTAATATTTATATTAATACTGTGCAACAGGTTAGCGAAGAAAACATGCCAAGAAGGAACTCGACAGCGACCCGGTGCCACGATTTGTGAAGGTAAAGTAATTTATCACTACAAAGTACTATTAAGTACAGTTTTATTGGATATTAGTTATGGTCCTATAGCAAGCGGTGGGGACTTAAGATAATCCAGCACCCCATTTTATCTCATGGATGTCATAAGAGCCGATTATGGGAATGACAGAAAAAATTATGGATTGATTATGGAAGATCCTCGCTACAGCGAGAGAAGTGTCAGCAGTCTCAAAGCCCCACGGAGTTTCACAGAGGACGGGTCTCGACGTAGAGCTTATTCTGCCGACAGGTGTGCGCTCCTGAGTAGCAGCAATCCGGGCCTCAGGTGCTCCTCCCTAGTTCTAGATGATGGCCTGACTAGTTCCTAGGTATTCCTGGCGTATCTCGCGCCTCTGGGAAGGGATCTGCCGAAGGGTCAACGACTACCAGGTCCCACGGAGACGTATCTCGACGCGGAGCCGAGTCACCAACAGGCGTGCGCTCTCCTGACAGCAGCACGCCGGGCCTCCGGAGCTCGCTTCCCAGCATGTTAGTTGATGCGCAGCGTTGGAGATTTATCATCCCAGGAGGGGTCAGGTGTCTTTTGAAGGGTAGATGCATTGTCACATCTGAGGCCTAAGGAATGGCTCGTTATCAGAAGAAAGGTCACCAGTTCTCCAAAGTCACCATACGAAACAACATTGTTGCTTCGTGCTGGTATTCTGTGAGTTATTTCAATAGGAATCAAAATCCACATATAAATTGGTATTACGTTATAATTTACAGCTGAAGAAGTTGGAATTTTTTTTATAGAATGAAGTTGACAAACGAGCAAACAGTCCACCTGATGTTAAGTGAATGCTGTGGCCCATAGACTTCTACATTTATCCTCGATTAAGAATCAAAATGCACATGCGTTGTCACCCCTGGGGACTAAGTTCGGTTCTCTACACTCACCATTTGAAACACAATAGCATTTAGCTGCTATTTTAAACTCGTATTCTGTGAGAGCGTGATCCTTCCCTGGTCAAGCCGAAAAATTCTCATTTTACTAAATTCTTAAATATTCTATTGTTTAATGTTGCAGATATCGACGAATGTCGTGAGGGCACGCACTTATGCGATCGGTTCCAAAATTGTATCAACACATACGGTGGTCACGAGTGTCGCTGTAAAAACGGCTTTGAGTTGGATTCATCTTCAGGGTCTTGTGTTGGTAAGCATCATATCCAAATAAACAAAAAGGTTTATAAACTTGACAATTGAGAAAATAAAAAAGTTTTTATCCTTCAACTTCAGGACAACAGAGGTTTATATTTAAAGTGGATTTAATAGTGATAAGTGATAAGGTGATAAGCCACCTTTAAATATTTATCATTTCATTTTTTTTAAATAATGACGTAGTATTTTAAATATAGACAGACGAGTCTTGGGTTCCTGGGTTCTAGATATTACATTTAAAAGTCAAAATTATTTAAATTGAAAGCCAAACATAATAAAATTTTTTCAAATTACTGCTAGATAAGTAAAACTCCTGTGAATTTAAATGGCGGCAGAGAAAAACTAAAACGGAGAACGGGCAGCAGCACATTGCTGATAGCAAATTTAATAAAAAAACTATAATATAGTGGGGCCTCCCCCTACGCTTAACAGTGGACTTTTATAGGCTTAATGGATGGATGTAAAAATCTACTACCGTGACCTTTATAGAAAAAAAACTGATAAGAAATTCTAAGATCACCGTCTACATTATTTTATAATTATAATAACCTGATCGAATCAGCGGCAAATATCTCCCTATGAGGCAATCTATGGGGGAATCCTATGCTCAGCAGTGGATTTTAACAGGCTGTATCGAATTGAGTAAGTAGGTATTTACTGTACTTTATAATAGTGATTATCGTAATTTGTTACGAATAAATATTTCTTGTTAATGTGTTTATTATTTTTGCGCGCCTAAGTTGACGTCAGGTACCTGACACTAGCGCCATCTAGTGTCGGGGACCAGAGTGAAGAGGGCTTCCTAGAAAATGTTAATCTTGACTTTCGACCAACAGCGCCATCTAGTATCGAACAGAAGAATTAAGCTTTCTAGAAGCCCCACACTCGAACTTTCTGCGTCTGGTCGGTCGGCGCCCGTATCTACCGGAATATTCTGGATGTTTCGGTGTAAAAGTTGTATTTAAAGGCGCTGCAAGACGCGATTGGCAGTATTGAATTTGGCGAGACAAGCGAAGCTTCGGAGCGAAATAAAGTGAATCAGTGTGATTCATTATTAGTGTTTTAAGTTTTAATTGGTGTTCGGTAATAAAAGTGTATTTTGGTAATTCAATCGGCAGTTTTTATTGTCACGAACCTCAAGCTCGTAACAATTGGTGTCAGAAGTCAGATAAAATCATGCCGATTTTACCTAAGGAGGAAACAGAGGGTGACCGTACCCGAAGTCAACGCCAGCAGGAGACGGACCAGTGACGATTTGGTGGTACAACGCCGCAGACGTCGAAGGGCCAGCCACCGGATGCAGGCTCATAAGTAGCTCCTACATCTGCAGCTCCTGACTTAGGTGCTCTGATGGTGATGCTGCAGGAGCAGGCTCACCGACAGGAGGAGCAGGCCCGCCGACAGGAGAAACAGGCCCGTTGCTTAAAAGAGCAGCAGGAGGAACAGGCTCGCCAGCAGGAGGAACAGGCTCGCCGGCAGGAGGAACAGGCTCGCCGGCAGGAGGAACAGACTCGCAGGCAGGAGGAACAGGCCCGCCGATTGAAAGAGCAGCTGCGGGGCGGACAAGAGGAACAGGCCCGTCGGTTGGAAGAGCAGATGCTCCTCATGAAGGACCTTCACGCTACCTTCGGGAAGGAGATAAAGGAGGTGAAGGATAGGGTTGCTTAGCATGACAACCGCCTATCAGAAGCTGAAACCCAGATCGCGAAAGCTGAAACCCGAATCGAGAAAGCTGAAACCCGAATTGACCAAGTGAACAATCGGGTTGACAACGTGATGGCTGACGTGAAGAAAACGCTGGACGACCTCAAACTGGGGGATGGAATTACAGCTCCCGTAGTAGCTACAACACCTTCGCTACGTGGGTTCAAGGTGCCACCGTTCGACGGGCCTTCTTCCTGGTCGGCCTACTAAATCCAGTTCGAGGCTGTTATGAAGGCGAATGGCTGGAATAAAAGTCAGGCCATGACTGCTCTCACACTAGGCCTGCGCGACCAGGCCTTAACAGTTCTGGAAGCTCTCGGTGGGGAAGTGACTTATGAGCAACTCCTTGAGGCATTGGAGGCGAGATATGGCGACGCTCACCTGGAACACGTCTTTCGTGCGCTGCTTAAAGATCGCGTGCAGCGCATCAACGAAAACCTGCAGCAGTGGGCTCTAGAGGTGGAGAAGCTGGTGCGAAAAGCATACCGGTCTATACTTGCGCTCATTGAAGGGAACCTAGTGCAGACATTCATCGACGGCATCCTCGACCTTGAAGTCAGAGCTGATGTAAGGCTCGGGCACCACGAGACGCTTAAGGACGACTTGGCCCATGCACTGGAGGTGGAAGCCGTGAGGCAGGATCATTGTTTCCATCGCGTCAGGGAGGTTGATGCAGCTACAGTTCGCAACCGCAATGAAGGATACAGTCCCAGGTGCTATAGCTGTGGGGAAAGGGGCCATCTTCGATCCAGCTGCCCTAAGCGAAATGTAGAAAGGGAAGTTGATCAATCTCGAGAGGGTAGTGCAGCTAACGGCACCGCCTGGCGGCGGCAGGATCATCGTTCCCCTCACGTTAGGGAGGTCGCAGCAGTTACGGTTCGCGACCACTATAAAAATTACAGCCCAAGGTGCTATGGCTGTGGGGAAAGGGGCCATCTTCGATACAGCTGCCCTAAGCGATCTGTAAAAAAGGAAGGTGATCGACCTCAAGAGGGTTGTGCGGCTAACAGCACCACCCAGCAGCAGGAATACGGCTTTGTGATTGAACACCGCAGCGGGAAATCGCATGACAACGCAGATGCATTGTCAAGGAGACCTTGTCCTGAAGATTGCAAGCACTGTACTAAGCAAGAGAGTAAGGAAGTGGTATCCGTAGGGATGCTCAGGAGAGACCACCTCAACAACGAATGGAAGGACAGCTTACAACATGCACAGCAGGAAGATCTGGACATCAAGCCGATTCTGGAATGGATGAACGCCCGTGCTACCAAGCCTAAGTGGAGCGACGTCTCAGCAATGAGTTCGACCACTAGAAGCTATTGGGCCCAATGGGACAGCTTGCTGATTCAGGATGGAGTCCTGTGCTGTAAACGGGACAATGGTCGAAGAGACAGCTGTCGTTTGCAAATGGTTGTCCCTAAAGCTAAAGTGCTGAATGTTTTACAGCTGTACCGTAATGGTTATTCAGGAGTCCATCTGGGAGTTAAACGAACTCTACTGAAGATCCGAGAACAGTTTTACTGGGTCCACTGTCGAAACAATGTCGAGGACTGGTGTCGCAAAGGTACAAGTTGTGCGGCTGTAAAGGGACCTCAGACACGTAGTAGAGGAGCATCGAAATTGTACAATATTGGTGCACCATGGGATATGACAGCCCTTGACATTGTGGAGCCGTTACAGAAAGGCGCAAGAGGGACTCCTAAGATCGTCCATGTGGATCGCCTGGTGCCTATTATGGGGCCGATAATGCTCGGGACGAGCATGTCTTAGGAGGGGGCAGTGTTGCGCGCCTAAGTTGACGTCAGGTACCTGGTACTAGCGCCATCTAGTGTCGGGGACCAGAGTGAAGAGGGCTTCCTAGAAAATGTTAATCTTGACTTTCGACCAATAGCGCCATCTAGTATCGAACAGAAGAATTAAGCTTTCTAGAAGCCCCACACCCGAACTTTCTGTATCTGGTCGGTCGGCGCCCGTATCTACCGGAATGTTCTGGATGTTTCGGTGTAAAAGTTGTATTTAAAAATCGCAAGACGCGATCGAGGCAGTATTGAATTTGGCGAGACAAGCGAAGCTTCGGAGCGAAATAAAGTGAATCAGTGTGATTCATTATTATTGTTTTAAGTTTTAATTGGTGTTCGGTAATAAAAGTGTACATTTTGGTAATTCAATAGGCAGTTTTTATTGTCACGAACCTCAAGCTCGTAATATTATAGTTTGTAACATTAAAATATAATATTATTTTAAGTAATCTTAATTTTGAAGTAGTTGAAAACTTTATAAAATTTTTGAAGCAATCGCGAGATCCAAAGAAGAAGTTTTAATATTGACTTACACTGCACAGTTGTTATACTGATAATATTAAAAAGAGTCGGTCAGCATTAGGCAGGTAGGTTAATTATCGTTATTTGTAAAAAGCTGTAAGTTTATTTTATTCATATTTCTTGTAGATATCGATGAGTGTGCATTGAAACTAGACAACTGTCAGGCGGGTCTACACTGTCTAAATGTACTGGGTTCATTCACATGTACACGCCGACCTGCCACCACATCTACCACAACTACAGCCACACCACCTGTTTACGATTATGAGTACTACGATTCTGAGTGAGTATAAAACAAAACCTATTTTTTACCTTTTGGTTTACTCAATTTATTGGCTGATGTTTTAAAAATAAGTTTTGATCATAATTATTTTTAATTAATAATTATTAATTAGGTATCGGATTGTTAACGCGTTAGTTAAAAAATGTCCATTCATTCTTGTTAAAACATTGCGCATAATTTTTTTTCGCCTTGCATTTTAAGGACTAAAGACGTTATAGCACATACGCTGAGCGATCGTCTTAAACATTATATCACAGTCTTAAAACTTCTTCTTACGCTGTGATTACTTATATCACGCGATTAACCCTTCAAGCGCCATAAAAATCCCATGCAGTCGCATGCGCCCGGCAAATCCCGAGTGGTCGTATGCGACCACACCCACCCACAGCACTTAAACCATTAAAACTTATATTTAGAGACTACTTTTCTATAAAGAAGTTTAGCATTTTAAAATTTATACAAAATTCTCTATCCTGTGGTCTAAACAAAAGTCAGGTTTTACTTCATTACAAAAAGATTTCATTGTATTTTGATAACAAAAAAAGCATACCAAGCGAATGTCGGCTGCGTGAAAATCACAATTATTTCAATATATATTACTCGAAATTATTTACGTAAAAGGATAAATTATATTCACACAAAAACTTTCATTACCATTTTTTAATAAAACACTATACTAAAACACTAATAAAACACTAGAAAAATCCAAAAATCAACACAATAACATTTACGCGGAAATGGCGTACGAAATGAACGTAGATAATTAATAAATATTCATAAGATAACAGTTTTTTATTGCAACCAAACTTCTTCATAGAAAAGTAGTCTCTATATATAAGTTTTTATGGGTTAAAGTACTGTGGGTGGACGCGACCTCATGAGACCGCTAGGGATTTGACGGAATATTGCCGCGGTCTCATGAGACCACTAGGGGGTTGAGAGGTTAAGTTCGTAGTTTTTGAGAAGTTTTTTGAGGGTATGTAATTTTTCCTCCATGCTTCCAGCTAACACTGGAGCAAAGAGGAAAACTTTTCCACTACATTACTATTACGAAACTGCAGAATAGACTTTTGTCCAGCACGTTTTAGTAGTTAATTAATTTAATCTAAACAAACTACTTAAAACTTTTTAATACAGATTTGGCAACAAAATTGTTACACATCTCAGACTCAACAAATATTCAGTCAATGTAGATTTGTGGACGCTATTGGGTTTATTTAAAGTATGTATTAAAAGTAAGTATAGATAGTGCTTATGTAAGCTATTATTTAAAAAATTATAAAAATCTTACAGAGAAGAAAACACAACGAATATTGATAAGCCTAACACATCAGTGACTATTCCCACAACAAGTACTTCGACAACATCAACAACTCCTAGACCAACTACCACTTCGACAACCTCTACAACATCGACCACGACACCGATACCCTCGACGACTAGTACGACAACTCGCACAACAAGAGTGTGGCCGCCGTCACGACCAGGAGGTTACAATCCGTATTATCCCAGATATCTTATCCCTACAACTAGAAGAACTCCATACACGATTCCCCCTGTCAGACCCACTCGCCCCACTACACCAGAATCTAGAAGACCTGAAATTAGACCTAGAAGACCCGAAACACTTAATCCTGTTGAAGTTACGGTCCCAAATCCCACAAATGTCGTTACTATAGAGAAAGAAAAAGAAGCAGATGGTAGTTACGGGTTGAATGCTAGTGAAATACCAAAAGATAAATGGTCGAACGTTATTGGAGTAAATAAACCAGAAACTTCAGATTTTAATCCTGAAGAATTACACTGCTTGAATGGATTTGAACGAAGTCCTAGTGGCGATTGCATAGGTAAGAATGTATTAAATAATGATTAATGTTATTTACCGAAGAGTTATTGCGTGTGAGGTCCTTCAAGTAATCATTTTTGCTGCGAGTAAATGACATAATGCTAATGACACCTTCGCAGCAACACTACACTCGCAATATTTATCACGACCCTTGGATCGCGATATGGATTTTCAGAAATCTAGAAATTCTGTGATCCGTATCGCGATCCATCAATAATTGATACTACACGTTCAATATATATCATGATCCTGGATCACGATCCAAGGATCGCGATAAATATCACGCGTGTAGCATTCGCCTTATACAATGTGGATGATTTTATCGAATTATATACTTAGATGTTTTATTATTTGCAATTTCAGTATATGTATTTCATATGTATATTGCATCTGCAACAAATCTCATCACTCCACTGATTGACTGGCAGAGAATGCCAATAGGCATTAAGTTCGCCTTTTGTTACCCTACAAAGTTTTATTCAAGTGGATTATTAATATAAGATTGTATTAATATAAGATTGTATTAATATAAGATTGATGACTCAGAGAGCCGCGATAGCACTGATGCTACCCGCTCCTTGTAAATATCATAGTATGCGAGCAACGCGTGCTTGTTTTCCGCCGGCACCAATGAAATTGTTAATTGTAAAGCGGGCTACATACGACACGATATCGGTGGCGATCTAGGGTGGAGTAGTGGGGATGCCTCCTAGATTGCCTCTAAATCGTGTCGTATGTAGAGCCATCCTAAGTCGTAGCCGATATCGCCTCCTTAATCGGCTGGCAGGAGCAAAAATGCTTCCTAGATCAGCCGATGCTTCCTAGATCGGGGCACCGCCCCCTCCTTACTGCGTGTGTGTAGGCGCATCGGCCCGATTTCTTTTGGCAGTCGCTGCCAACAACCCTCGCGGAAGGAAGTTAACAAAACAGTGATACTGAATGACCTTTTTTATGTAACAAAATTTTTACATTTTAATCATATAAACGGAGCAGAAGCCTATGGCACTGATATTTTACAAAAAACCACAAAAAAAAAGTGAATAAAATAAATAAATTAAATGAAATTTTATCGAAATTCAAATCATATCCACCCTAGCCTGTGACCCTGCGAAGTGACATGGTCAAGAATGCCTACTAAACTATTTTTTTATTGCCGTTCGTAAAGTAGAGTGTATGATGTAAGTAAGGAGAAGATAAAGCCTCTCCTCAACAACTAACTCCTATTCCAACACTATCAACACAAGACCGCACTCATATCTCTTACAACTCCACAAGACCACAATTCGATCTCTTACGTGCCTTCATCCTCTTATAAACAACTAACTTCTACTCCTTCACCATCTCCACATCAACAAACAAGTTATATAAAAGGGAGTATGTCCGAAATTAAAGGTTTCTTTATGTTTAAAAAAAAGATATAAGCTATTTTATTTTCTGATAGTTTTACTCCATAAATAAAGATTACATTAAAAAAAGTATACATATTATTATACAAAAGTATTTTATTTCCTTGTTTGTTGTGTGTAATACATAACCAGATTTTGACCAAAGCAGAAATGAACAAAGAGAAGAAATAACTAAATAGCATAGGTACATAGGAGAAATTGATGTTTTTATATAAGTGGAGAAATCATTTCTAGAAGGTTATAAAAACTGTCTTCATCCATCCGGAGAAAATTAATCATGTCTTTGGAATACAGATCATTTAGTACGTTTATGTGGCTTAATTTTTGTCTCTTTTGGAGCCATTTTTTCACCCAGCAACTCCTCTTTTTCTATTTTCGAATAAATTTACCGAGAGGGCTAATGCCAAACCAATACATTGGTGTTTTAAGAGAGTTGAAGCTATTTTGAAGAACTCTTCCGCATGTGTGTTCCGCTCCAAGTCCGAACGCGTACTGCTAGGCAGGCCCGTGTGTAGGGTCTGCCCCGATAAAAGCCCCGATTTCTTTCCACCCTAGATCGCCACCGATATCGTCTCGTGTGTAGCCCGTTTAATTTTAAGTGCTAATGAAATCAACGATTAATAATCAAAATACAGATAAGAGAGAGAGAAAATACAGACCCTTGAGGACTAAAATGGAATGTCTATTTTTCATTAAAAAGGGTTTCGTATGGTATACATAGAGAACCCGGGTCTCTGTACTCACCATACGAAACACAGCAATATTAAGCTGCTATTTTACGCTGGTATTCTGTGGAGAGCGTGGTTTTTCCTCGGTCGAACAGACCCATTCATGCTATAACTATGTATAAAACCTAAAAACTTCTTTCCACTTGTTTAAACTAAGGAATCTATTCACTTGCTTCACCATTAAGCAATCTCGAATAATATAAAATAAAATATTTCCGCCGAGTACCCAATGTTTTGTCACCGGTTTATACGGGAGGCTGGTTCGCAATGACTATAGAAAACAGCACGTAAACGCGGCTCAAAAGGGAAATTGGCCCCTAGTTCTGTAATAGTGGCCTTTCTAGAAGCACAAGACTTCCGCGTTTCTGCTTTATTAAGTACCAGCATCGCCACATGCTGTCAGAAGCTCTACCGGCCCTTCTCAACCTCTTCTCACCCCAATAAATTGAAACCTTGTATCCGTCCCTGATAATAATGTTTGACTAATAAATTCAGTACCAAATACCTATTTTGTAATTTGCTATGTGATATGGTGATCTAAAGGCTATTAATAAAGATAAAGAAATTACCTAATATTAAGTAAATCAATCACCTCTGTTTTTGATGTTCTGTCCAGACATTAACGAATGTGAGACGGGGAGACACATCTGCAGTAGTCTGGAGGTGTGCCACAACAGGCAAGGTGGTTACATGTGCGACTGCATGCCGGGATTCCATCGCGACCCCAGCGGATGGTGTGTGGTCGCAACTACCACCAGCACCACCACCACTTCCACTACCACAACTACCACGCCGAGACCAACGACTGTTAGAACAACTACGTCAACGACTGAGAATACTACTGCAGGTAACATTATAAATGCCAACTGCAATAATTTATGATTGACCTGAGATTGCGGTGTAAGAGAATTCCCACCTTAACACCTAAGTATCGCATAATCTTAAGCTTAAAGCCTGAGTGGAGAGAGCAGCGGGGGCGTGGCATGGTGGTTTATTTTTCATACAACTCCGGTGGTCACCACTCACCACACTGTAATAGAACGTTAGCTTATCATGAAGCCACTCTGAACAAACTTATAATAATAATAATGTCCTCCAGACCGAATTTCGGCCACGGCGACCTGCCTCAACGGAGGCTAGCCATCGGCGCAGGACAGGATTATAGAGGCCAAGTGTATGCGCAATCACAGGTGCACTCTCTATTCCCTCACTATCACAATCCGATGGGACGGTAAATCGACACGACCGGAGAGAGATCAGGCGCAGGACCAACGGCTTTACATGCTTTCCGAGGCACGGGGGTGAGATACCGCTAACTTCCTGACTCCAGGCAACTACTGAAAGTTTCTTGACAGAAAAACTCAATAATTAATTTTTTGGCCCCACCCAGGATTCGCACCCAGGACCTCATGATCAGCAGTCGCACTACTACAACCACTAGACCAACGAGGCAGTCACAAACTTATAGTCCACCTGATAATAAGTTGCTGTCATCTCTTGTTTCAGTTTGTGGTTATCAAAAATTAATCATCAATAAAATAATAAAGTATGAATAAATTTTCTGTTGAACTGTACTTGGGATGGAAAGGCGAAACAACAATCAAAAAGTGAATTCCGATTATCCACCCGTCTGGAGTGGATAAACGGACACGCGTTCCGAGTATCCACCGTAGGGTGGATAACCGGAATAACCCCTTTTTTGTATATCAATGGTGAAATCTTGTATGCCCCACGCGTACAGTAGCGGTCAGAATTGTGTCTGCCGTTTATATAGAACTTTATCAAACTAAACGTTTGAATTAGTTCCTATCCTATTCAGTGTACTAGAAATCCCTGTGTCCAAGGCGAATGAGATTGAATTTTAACATTTCGTCTATTTATTTTTATTGAAGAAATTTTTTATCAGCAGTTGTAACACAAGCGTTCAATAAATTTTTATGCAAATATGATAATTGTAGTTAATTAAAATATCTTTGTTTGAAGTTACAACAACCAGTACAGAATGGCCGCGCGTACCGAGACCACGTCTGCCTTGGTACACGCCTTCGAAGCCATGCGATTTTGGTTACATCTATAGCTCCATTCTAGGAAAATGTGTTGGTAAGTAAACTTGAACATATTTAGTTGTGATAATATCTAAACTACAGAAATTTTAAATTTTGTACGTGGTACAGCTATGTTGCAGTTATATTAGTAGCATAATTGTAGCACGATTGGGTCGGCTCGACCGGGGAAGGACCACGCTCTCACAGAATACCAGCGTAAAATAGTAGCTTAATGCTGCTGTGTTTCGTTTTGTAGAGAACCGGAGACCCTTTTTACTGGAGACGAGGCATTCCATCTTACTCCTCACGGGTGACAACGCATCTGCATTTTGATTCGTAATCGAGGATAGATAGATGTCTGTGGGCCACAGCGACCACTTACCATCAGGTGCACACATAGTCCTCGTTTGTCACCCCATCCTATAAAGAATAAAAATGTTTGTTCATATTTTATGCGCTGCCATGCCATACATCAGATTGTGTTAAAACTTTGTCAACTTACCTATTGCTTGCACTTGTTCAAAGGTTTAGGCATAGTTAGGCATAGTACGGGATCCGGCTACATTACTACATTCATGTAGTTTTTGATCAAAATCTGATTTTAATATGTAATTATACAGTACACGCCTGTTGGTCTAGTGGTTAGTGACCCTGACTGCTATGCCGGAGGTCGTGGGTTCGATTCCCACCCAGGACAAATGTTTGTGTGATTTATCTATAATATTTATGTATTTAGAAATATATAAGTATGTTTATCAGTTGTCTAGTACCCATAACACAAGCTCTGCTTAGCTTGAGACTAGATGGCGTTGTGTGATAGTTGTAAAAAAAAATTATAAGTGGGGTAATACATTTTTGCTAGGGTGCCTATCAAAATGTGGCCGCAAGTAATTTTAATTAAAATAACTTGAATTGATGTATTCGAAAAAAAATAATTCACTTGTTTTGTAAATAAATTATAAACCACTCCACAGGAATATAAGTAAAGAACTTGGAAAGGTTAAGTGAGTCGGTAGCAGTCTGTTTGTGTGTCTGTCTGTTTGTGCCGGCTAATCTCCGATATGGCTTAACCGTTTTTTTACGAGATTTTCACTGGCAGATGGCTTATGTAATAAGGAGTAGCTTAGGCTACTTTGATTTAAGAAAAATAATTAGGTTTTCGTACAATAAAAATTAAAACCCAAGAAATATAAATATATTATATAAAAAATAAATTCCACGCGGGCGATATCGCGGGGAACAGCTAATTAAACAATATAACTCTTCCAAATTTAAAACGATATTTCAACAATATTTCTTATGTGGCCGGATATCAGCTTGTTAACAATAAAATAAAAAAGTGAAATTCTTAATTAATGGATTCTATCACGCAGAGTGATTTCGAGCATAGTCCTCATAGTCCATACTCCATAACTCTCTGAGCAACCTTAAGCTTTCTTATATGGCCGGCAATAAAGAATCAAGACTTAGTTTCATAATATGAACATATATTATCATTAATGAAATATTAGTAACATTATATCTGTTTTAACAGGCTTCGATATTGTAAATTCTATAGAATACACGGACATGGTTTTATTTAGGGGAAGCTGAAAATAGTAGCATAATGTTGCCGCGTGACGAGAACCGGAGGCGCGTTTCTTACTCTTATTGCTTAAAAAAACAGAATGGTTTTATTTGTAATCTTCCTTTGAACCATACGGTTCGGAAGGTATATTATGCTTATGTGTGGTACACGTTGCAGCTATATTATGGTTGTAGAATGGATTAGTTGGCGACGATGTTACCATCAGGTAGGATGGCAGTCAAGCACTGACTTGTGACGTGACTACAGTGTAGATGTCTTCACTTCTTCGTTATTGGTCTTTAGATTTCAAGAAAAATGAAGGAAGATTACAAATAAAATCCATTCTGTTTTTTTTTTTTTGAAAAATACAGAATTTAGCGCATTTTAGCTATAGCACTTACAATGGTGTTGATGATAACATCTTTTACCATTTATTACCACATTTCAGATATAGACGAATGCGCCGCAAACAGGGCAAATTGTTCGCCAAAAGAAGACTGCGTCAACACGGAGGGCGGGTACCGTTGTGTTTGCGGCAAGAGATGTCGTGCGGAAACCGAAACACCCACATTTTGTAAGAATAACGTTTTAATTTAATCCTTTTTGACGGGGTGTATTTCTTTTCATGTACCTATTTACAAGTAAATGCTATGTATTTAGAAACGAGGCTCTTTTTGATTGACCAGACGGTGAATCAGATTGATTGCAGAAAATTCATATAAACCAGGTGGTTATGAGAATAACCAGTGGAGGAGTTTTGAACACTGTCTTCACTAACTTGTCTACATAACATGGTGAATTTGAGAGAGGTCAAATATTTCAAATAAAACACTGCGCGTATTCTTTATTTCTTATTGTTACCGATGAGAACCGGTAATACAATATATTATGATATGATATCGTGGCAGTCTATCCCACAGAACATGTGTACTTATATACACACATTTAGTTAATTTCAGTCAACGATCGAGATACGTGTTAGTTATTATTATACACATAATCTCATGCCTGTCGCCCAGTGCGGTCTGCAGAGACTACGGAATTCCATCTAGCACGATTCTGATACAGCTCTCTCGATTATTTACATCCATATCATCATCATCGTCATTACAGCCCTTCACAAGTCCACTGCTGAACATAGGCCTCCCCCAAGGAATGCCACAAAGTACGGACCCGAGCCACCTGCAACCATCAACTTCCTGCATGTCTTACCAGGTCGTCACTCCATCTAGTGAGGTGTCGATATACCTACATATAAATGATCGTCGGTTATTATACGTATCTGTGCATCACGTCACGTTGCAGTGTGTTATATCTACAGCACGAACCGGCCGAATATACTGATGAATTTTGTATGGTGAGCGATGAAAACTGGCAACCCTTTTAATGGTAACGAGGCTCCATCTTAGACCTCAGCGAAGACAACATCTGTATTTTGATTTTTAATATACAATATGTAACGTAATTAACGCACACCCTCAGACACCCCAACTAATTTGATAAATAATCAGTGCATAAAAATGTTTAACTAAAAATCCATAATATATTCCGGAAGAATGTTGTGGTCACAGTACAAATCCACGAACGCAAAGACTTTAACGTGCTTGAAATAAAGTTAATTTTTCTTTATTTTTATTGAATGACAGAATTAGTAATAATACAAATAAAACTGCACTCTTAAAAGTCTTATTGCCTTAAGTTACCGTCCATTTTAGTTTGTTTTGACTGTACACATATAGTGTGACTGTAATTTACGTAGTTTTAACTATTTTTGGCTTAAAAAATTACCTATATTAAAAATGATAGGAATCGATTCAGTAAACGATTCTGAACAAACTACTTTCTCAAAGTGCGTTAATTATGTTACGTGTTGTATAATTATGCTGATCATTTACTTACAAATATATGGTAGTCCCATCAGCACGAGAACCACCGGCGGTCATCCCGGACACGAATGTGATCACAGTGGGCGCTCAGTACGGGCAGCGCGGAGCGCGCGTGATGCGGCCGACGTACTCCAGATCACCATCTTCTGCTGCAGTGATAATTTCCTGCCCATGGGGATACAAGCTCACGCCCGAAAAACATTGTGTAGGTGAGTCTGGTGTTCCGCCATACAATCGACTATGAACTTGGTTTGTACCGAGCTTGACTCCTTCTTTTTATTTATGTCTTTTTTAGGATATAATTAATTTAAAAGTTTTATTTTATTCATCTAAACAAATGCATAGCCACCGTGTTATGAACCCATACACTTTTGAACCATTTCAACTTAAACTGGTTTGGTAATATGGATAATGGTATATTGGACTTAAATTAGATCGCGATAATAACTTTGATCGAATATCGATAATTTCTACTTACCTACCTGATTTTTTCCTTTTAATACGGCTTATTTTCTGCATTTATACATTAATTACAGCATTTCACAAGTCCACTGCTGAACATAGGCCTCCCCTAAGGAATAACTTAAAGCACGGTACTGAGCACTACATCCACCAACTTCCTGCATCACAAGGTCGTCACTAGTGGGTGACCGTGCCACACTTCGCTAACAGATACGAGGCTGTCGCTCGCGAGCCTTTCTTCCCATCGGTTGTCGGTTCTTTTCCGAACTTGGCTGTCGCATCGCCGTGTGTATAGATTATCCACCATGTGCATCTCTAATATCAATAAGCAAAACAATGACAATTTCCACAGATATCGACGAATGCGCCCGTAACATATCGGAATGCGGTCCGCAGCAGCGCTGTGAAAACTTTTTCGGAGGTTACTCATGTCAGTGCCCGGCGGGACACCGGCTTGTCGGACAACAACGCTGCGAGGACATCGATGAATGCGCCTACGGAAATGTATATATTCACTTAATCTATCCAATTAATTTCTTTATTTTGTGATTTATAATACATACCAATAAACTTTATACGTCATGCGATAGCGGCGTAATTAAACCCATCAATTAATATCTCACACTATTGACATTGCTCTGAAAAAAGAGGTGAAAATTCTTACATTCTGTAGAATTTATCTAAGTTTTTTTTAAATATCCGCCATTCGCCGACTATAATAGGCTCACCCTCTTAGAAATGATAGGAGGCCTGTGTGACGTGTATAGGCTATAACTTTAACTTTTGACTTTAAGAGGTTCATTTGTAATTTATAACACTGGGTGCAATGAAGTAGGAATTTGTTAACCTAACAATATATTATCACACTCAAATGTAAATAGAGTTGATCGAGCAAGTAGATGAGTTTGTATATCTGGGTTGCGTATTTAGCAGGGATGGGAGATGTGATAAGGATATAGAACGACGAGTGAATGCAGGAAATAGAATAAATGGGGCCCTACACTCTATTGTGAAGAGTCAAAATGTGTCGAAAAAGGCACGTATGGCAATTCACAATGCTGTGTTGGTCCCTACTTTAACGTATGGTAGTGAAAGTTGGGTGTGGCAGAAGAAGCACGAGAGTAGAATGAACGCAGTAGAAATGCGGTCGTTAAGGAGTATGTTAGGGCTGAATCTGAATGACAGGGTAAGAAATTGTGTAATAAGAGAAGAGTGTGGTTTGCAAGATGATGTTGTGACCAGGATTAAGAAAGGAATGCTTCGGTGGTTTGGCATGTGGAAAGAAAGAATGAGGAAAGAGTGACAAAGAAAATTTATGTTGCAGAAGTGAATGGCAGAGTCGGAAAGGGACGTCCTAGGCGAAAATTTATCGACCAAATTGGCGATTTATTGAAAACGGGCCAAATTAGGAGTACCCTTAACCGACGAGCATGTATGCGTAGGTGTATGGATGTGAAGGAGGCGAGAGAGGTGTGTCAGGATCGTGCCAAATGGAAGTCTGTAGTCTCTGCCTACCCCTCTGGATGACAGGCGTGAGTGTTTATGTATGTATGTATGTGTCAAATGTAAATATTCTAACGTCTTAATAAAAAAGTGGTAGTTGTGTGCAAACTGCAAACAGTAAATTTCCTTCGCAGCCGTGTTCATACAACGCTCAATGCATCAACACAGTGGGTTCGTATCGCTGCTCCTGCGGGGACGGCTTCCGCAACGCACCGTCAAACGACAAGGTATATATTTTATATTACATATATGTAATTGCACGTCATCTTGTTATGACATTGAAAAAAAAAAAGAATTTCTGGCCGGTTCCTTCCAGGATCGAACTTAATTTTCCAATAGGTGATAGATACTGACGTTATAAGGAACTTAACATAACCAGCATGCCTATTCTTTATCTACGTTGACATCAAAATATGTCGTATGCTATAGTTTTTCTTTATGAGATACCACGGCATCATAATCATTACATACATTCATATTAAGACATTTTACATTTACATCACATCATATTAAGCATACGACGCAATGTACGACAAAGTTATTATAATTTTGAAGTCAACAAATTTAGCGAATAGGTCTGCAGGTTGGCAATGAAATCAGAGCGATAAATACATATCTCTTCGTGACTATGGGTATTCGAAAAGTCGGGGATTTAAAACAACTGCTTCTTGAAAATAAAAAATGAAAAACAGCAATTTTATTTTATTAAATTATTTTAAATATACGCAAATATCTCAGCTAATTTTTGTATCAAGGAGTGACAATCGCGCTTCATTTTGATATAGAAGTTGGATTTTATAGAACTACACCTAAAAGGTTGATTACTGCAGCTGTCGTACGGCTCCTTTTTCCTTCTGCTCCAGAAACGGAATTTTTAGTACTTATAAGGTTCATAATGATTACTTAATGTACCTATATAAATATTATACTCAACCTCCTACACACATACGCACACTATCACTCTACACACAAGGAGGCCTACCTACACTCTACAACTATAAATTAATGATTTTTGATTTTTTTTTATATACAGTGAAATGTAAATCTTAAAGGGAAGAGCGCTGCTGTCTGAAACACAGATATTAAGTTATCTAGTTCAGACACAGATGTTCACAAAATTGTATTTATTGTTAAGCTGTATCTTAAAGTGTTTGTATCCTAGAAATTAAGATATTCTTCGAATAAATGAACCTTAAAACAACGCTAAAATAAACAAAGTAAATGGTATTTGTAAAGGTATGCGTGGACGTGGACGAGTGCGCGGAGACGCCGCACGTGTGCGCGCACGGCTGCGCCAACGCGTGGGGCGGCTACCGCTGCTACTGCGAGCGCGGCTACCGCCTGCACGCCGACAACAGGTCGCCACCTCCATTTATTTCGTTTTCATTCATATAACCCATCAAAAGTCAAAATTTATATGTCAAGTAGTACCTAAAATACGATATATTTTTTTTTTGAATAAAATACTATTTTTTTACCTCAATTTACATACTTCTTCATAAGCACAAATTAATGAATTCCATCGGTTATTTGCTGTTATAATATTGTACGTTGACTATGCTGCAATCAGGAAATTTGTCGCGAAGATTAGTTGGATCACTTTTATTATATATACATATATATATATCTTATTTATCATGCTGCGGCTACACTAACGAGCAACGTCAATGCCCATAAACGCAACAATTATTGCCTTAAATTTAACGCGATAAAATGAGTGGCTACACTTGAACGGTCAACGTCGTTTCCCGTTGAACGGCATTAAATTTGCCGTTGAACGGCGTAAAATGTTTCGACCGGGGAAGGACCACGCTCTCACAGAATACCAGCGTAAAATAGTAGCTTAATGCTGATGTGTTTCGTATGGTGAGTGTAGAGATCCGGCGACCCTTTTTACTGGAAACGAGGAATTCCATCCTAGTCCTCACGGGTGACAACGCATCTGTATTTTGATTCGTAATCGAGGATAGATGTATATGTCAATGGGCTACAGCATCCATATACCATCAGGTGGACTGTGTGCTTCTTTGTCACCCTATCCTTTAAAATAAAAAAAATAAACAAAGAAAAAAGAATACAAAGAAAAAGAAGATGGTGGATGCTACAAATGCACAGGAAATGTACACTGTAAATCTATTTATGTTTTATTTTATTTTCCCGCGCCCAAATTGCACTTGAAAGACGTCCAATGGTTTAAGCTAAATAATAAATGTAAATGAAATAATAACTAATAAGCCAATCATAAATACTGGTCAAGTGTGAATTAGATACACGTACCCAGGGTTTCGTACCACTGTACACTATGAATTTTGACCTGCAAAAATTGTTTTTTTTCTCCTGCTTATTTTTCTTAGTTTCATACTGTAAATGAAAGTACTTTTGAAACATTTTTTTTAATTCAATCTCGAAAAGCTTTTTCATTATTCCACTCCATCACAGCCATACGTGCAACCCCGTGGCACTCACCGTGCACAATGAGACAAACGTAGTGTGGCCGCTTCAACACGATAATTCGCGCGTTAATCCTTTGATGTACCGCCACTCGAGTTATCGGCAAACGGGAAACGGCATTGTTAATGCCGTTGTCAAATTATCGCGTTAATTCGTGGCTACACCTACATTCAACTTCCATCAACGCGATAATTAACGGCATTTCTCCTTAGCGTGGCCGGGCCATCAGAATAAGACAAAGCACGGTTCTGAGCCACCTGCATCCATCGACTTCCTGTATGTCTTACCAGGTTGTCACTACATCTAGTGGAGGGTCGCCCAACACTTTACCTAGCGATACGAGGCTGCCACTCGAGAACATTGTTTCCCAACGGTTGTCGGTTCTTCGAGCTATATGACCGGCTCATTGATACTTCAGCTTACCAATCCCTAGTACTATGTTGCTTACTCTGGTTCTACTGCGGATATCCTCATTTGTAAGTTTATCACGCAAAGAAACCCCGAGTATAGTGCTCGCCACAGCTCGCTGAGTGACCGTGAGCTTCCTCATACGGCCAACAGTAAAAGACCACGTCTCAGATCCATAAGTCATGCCTGGCAACACGTGCTGCTTGTACAATCTCAATCTCAAAATTTTGAGGCATACCTGAGGAAAAGATGTGTCGTAATCTCTCGAATGCGGCCCAGCCAATTTGAATCCGTCGATTGACCTCTCGGTCGAAGTTGGACTTACCTAGGCGGACTATTTGTTCCAGTTAAACATACTCGTCAACAACTTCGAACTTAGTGCTCCCAACAATTACCGACATAGGTGTGACATGGACGTTACATATGATCTTTGGTTTGTCCATGTTCATCTTAAGACCTATCCTTTGGAAGACACTATTGCGGTAAATGACATGACATATAATGATTTCTTATATTTACGCGAACACTACACATTGAAATAATACTAGTTTTTACGGAATTTATCGCGTATATTTAACTTTTTAATTACCCGACGTTTCGAGAGCTTTACAGCACCCATGGTCACGGGAAGGACTGAGATGTTCAACGTCCAGCTGTCATAGTTAACCGCGGTTACCATAGATTAAAATTTAACTTTTGTTCCGATCTACACAGTATGAACTTATGGTATCATGGAGTCTTGCAGTTGTATGCTTGGGTTGGGATTTAATTTTATTTATTATAGGATCCCAAGCAGATGGTAGCACCCAGCCATCTTCTCTATTGAAATTAGGATGTTTTTTGATTTCAATAGCCTCGCGAATCATCCTTGGAAGGAATCGGTGTTCTTTAGCGAGGATTTGTAGTCTATCAAATCTGATGTAGTGACGGAGGCGACCCTGTACATGTTCACAGACTGCAGACTTCCCGGAGCGTCGATTCTTCACATCAGCTATATGTTCTTTGACGCGGGTTTTAATGGATCTTTTAGTTTGTCCTATGTAGGAGAGACCACATTCACAATCAAGCTTGTACACTCCTGCATCTTGCAGAGGGACGTTACATTTGACTGATGGTAAAAACTGACCAATCTTCTTCGGCGGCTTGAAGTATGTTTTGATGGAAGCGCGCTTCAAGATGTAGCCAATCTTGTCAGTGACTCCTCTAACATATGGCAGTACAGCAGGTACACGCTCGACTGTGGCCGGCTTCACTCGTTCTCTGTGACGTAGGCGCGGGACCCGAAGCTTGTTGTCATGCAAAACTTGCTTGACATGTTGGAGCTCGGCAGCCAGGTGTTTACTGTCACAGATCCCTCGTGCTCTCTGAAACAAAGATTTACCCACGGTAGCTAACTGTGAAGGATGGTGGTGAGAATCACCGTTTAAATATCTATCTGTATGGGTCTTTTTTCTATACACAGTATGGCTCAAGGTGTTATCAGGATTCCGAATTACTAACACATCTAGAAAAGCTAAGGAATTGTTTGCCTCTAACTCCATTGTAAACTGAATTTTAGAATTTATAGAGTTAAGATGGTCTAAAAATGCAGTTACTTTATCTAAAGGTAGAATTGTGAAAGTGTCGTCTACGTACCGCTTGTAGAAACTTGGATTTATGGGAGAAGTAAGCAGGGCTTTCTCCTCAAAGTCTTCCATGAATATGTCGGCGACAATGGGAGATACAGAACTCGCTAAAGAACACCGATTCCTTCCAAAGATGATTCGCGAGGCTATTGAAATCAAAAAACATCCTAATTTCAATAGAGAAGATGGCTGGGTGCTACCATCTGCTTGGGATCCTATAATAAATAAAATTAAATCCCAACCCAAGCATACAACTGCAAGACTCCATGATACCATAAGTTCATACTGTGTAGATCGGAACAAAAGTTAAATTTTAATCTATGGTAACCGCGGTTAACTATGACAGCTGGACGTTGAACATCCCAGTCCTTCCCGTGACCATGGGTGCTGTAAAGCTCTCGAAACGTCGGGTAATTAAAAAGTTAAATATACGCGATAAACATTTCTGTTAAAATCGTATCCTTATTAGTCCAGTAGCTTGAAAGTTCTTCCAAAGCAGCGGTGAAGAGTTTCGGGGATATATCACCCTGTCTTACACCTCTTAGCAGTTGGATAGGCTTAGTACTCTGGTTCTGTTTTCGGATAGCTTTCGTAGCCCTAACGTACAAACACTTCAGCTCTTCCATATACCGATAGTCACCTTGGCGACGCTGAAGGCACTGTAGCACCGCCCAAATTTTGAGAGAATTCTTTTCAGAAGGCTTTTTCATACTGTCAAATCTCCTGAAGACTGCAATTTCAGTTTTGCAGGACTCGTCGCAGAAGAACACCTTTTGCGACGGGTCTTGCAGAACTTAGCTCCGACCGCATGGACAGTTTCCAAGTGCTAGTCATACATGTCGTCCACTGCATTGCAGTCTTCTAGGTACTGACAACGATTTTGTAATTCCAGCTGAAAGTTTTCAGGGTTTGGATTAGAGCACGAAGGGGACGGAGCGTTGCCTTATTAGACGTGACCTCTCCCACTTAACGTTTAGGTTCAGTGTGCCTCTCACCATTCGGTGATCGCTGCCAGTGTTCACCCTCGCTATCACTGAAAAGTTACCGTTTAGTCGTCATATTGAAATCAATCTCATTTTGTGTCGAACCGTCAGGGTTCGACCAGGTCCATTTTCTGTAGGGCAGCTTCTGAAAGAAAGAGTTTATCGTAAAGAGCTCCATGAGCCTCCATGAGCCTCTTACTCCATGCAGTTGGCTAGCTGCTAGCCCTTGAATCCCGTTGCCCTATCCGAAATTTCCCTACCTTCATCTCACCGTTCTCTCTTGCGCCTAGTTTTGCGTTAAAGTCTCACATGAACACCGTATGGTAGATTTTGGAGGAATGCATGGCTCTAGCGATATCCTTATACATTTCCTCCACCTCCTCATCGGGATGTACCGAGGTTGGTACGTAAACCTGTATGGCCTTCAGCCAATACCGTTTGGTGATTTTGAGTATAAGGTACACAACTCTCGTCGACAAACTCCCAATCTTTACATCGTTGTTACCGAAAGACTTGTTGGTCGATAAAACCGACACCTCCTTTGGACAGATGGTCGTCCTCCTGGTGATAAAACAAGCTGCCGGATTCGAGGATTACCGTATCCTCCACCTCTCTTCGGACCTCAGATAATCCTATAATATTCCAGCGCAACTTTATTATATCTTCTTCCAGCGCTAGAAACTTCCCGTCAGTCCTCAGAGTGCGTGCGTTATATGTTGTCTGGTCGAGTCGTCTTCGGTGGAAACTTAACCGGAGACACTGCCCTGCTTCGCCATTACCGTGGTCTCCACCATAGATAGGAATAGCGGGGCCGCCGGAGACTTTGTAACTGTCACCATTTGGGGGGGGGGGTATTGCCATAGTTGACATACTTGTCGAACAGGTTGACAACCGCAGTTTATTTATTATTATGCTGTTATCAGAAAGATGCTGCTGCCCATCTTCTGAATGAGTTTCCCTCTGTCGCCTCTACGACACACACGGGAACATATGGGGTAGTGGGTATTCTTACCCGCCATTCCACGGGGTAGATTAGATAAAAATTACCCTAATATTACATTTACACTGCTGTTTTATTATAATTACTCGTAGTATACGTATCGCCTATGGTCGAAATTCGAGTGATTGTTTCTTTGGTAAGACATTGAATGCAAACGGATCTTATTATTAACAGCCATGAACGTAATCAAAATGCTTTCATTTTATTGATTAAAGCGCTTTTATGAAAATTTCATGCGTGTATGTCATTTTATTTTATATGCTTTAATGGCAACACATTTTTGATTTCCTTTCCTTTTAAACAGGACGTGTGTGGACGTGGACGAGTGCGCGGAGTGGGGAGCAGTGCGCGCGCGCGGGCGGCTGTGCGGCGGGCGCTGCGTCAACGTGCCCGGCTCCTACCGCTGCACCTGCCCACCCGGCTACCGGCTCGCCGACGACGCACGCGCCTGCACAGGTACACCCGCGCACACAATGCACACAGCGCGCGCTGCGTCATATCATCATGCATAGTGGAGGAGCGAGGTACAAGAAACAGACAAAATAACATTTATGTAGTTAAAAAATTACTTCGTAAAGCAAATACTTTTTTGACTACCTACAAACGCAAGCCTTGTCCAAGTACCGTGTGCGCAAGCAGCAAAACCATAGAAGCGCAACTGACTTTTTAACTCTCATTTAAAAGCATTTGTAAATTATACTACATCTAGTAAGGTCTGATATTTAAAAGTCCGAATTTTATACATTTAACAGCATGGTACATAATTTAATTCTTATAATTCCTATTTATGTATCATCATCATCAACAACAACATTATTACAATCACAAGTCCTCTGCTGAACATAGGTCTCCATCAAGGAATACCACAAAACATGGTCCTGCGCCAAATGCAACTTCTTCATGCATGTCCTACCAGTCACTACATATAGTGGAACCGCTGTTCCACGGTAATTTTATCTATACAGTATTCCAACTTCATACAAACGGACGAAGCGAGAGCTATGCCTACGCGCCTCGATCTCGGCATGCAGACAGTCGAGACTCGAGACTGTGCCGCAGTGATGATTTTGTGAAATATATATAAAAAAATGGAGGAAATAAATAATAGAATAGAAATAAATAAATAATAAATCCGAACTTCATTTAAAACCAAACATATAAATTGTAAAATATCTTTTACTTGGTTATAGAATATAGATACCTCTATAACCAAGTAAAAGATATTCCTTTTCTCCACCTTGTCCATGTTCCATGTCCCAAAACAATTTTTAATTAAGCTTTATATTAGAATGCGAATTTTTTATACTTAAAAATCTAATAATAAAGCATTTCGTACGTCTCAGCCGAGGCGCAAATATTGTTCCTATTCAATTCACGAAGTACCTATTATATTTGTTTATATAAAAAAGTATAAGTATATTTACAATCATAAAACTAAATGGAAACACAAAGTAGGCAAATGTAAAATTGCTGGAGGCAGGCAGCCCTATCGTATGTTTACGTACCGCGCGGCTGTAGGCATTTATTTAGATACAGCCGAGTTCCAATACTGTATAGATAATATTACCACAGTATAATAAAAATTATAGACTGTGATATTACCGTGGCTGTACACTATAATGACCGATAGGTACGATACAGCCAATCGAGAATTATTCCTTCGATATCGACACGCTCAGTGACTAGATAGGTATATTATTTGTATTATTCTCAATGTGAATTAGTAAAAAAAAAAAAAGAAATAGAATCAATCTGTTCTGTTCTATTAGCATTTAATTATTAAACTGGAACATATAATAGTGTCTGATATTCCAAAGTCTAATGTAAAGAAATTGCTCTTTATAAAGTAACATAAAATTTCTTGCAGCATTGTAATAAAATGAGTCATTTATATTTCAGACATTGACGAGTGTGAGACAGGCGAAGCGCATTGCGCTGGAGCATCAGACGAAGGGCTCGTTTGCCAGAATACTCGAGGAGGCTACCACTGTCACCGAATTGACTGTCCTCCTGGTTACCGTCTAGAGTCCAAACAGTAAGTATATGCTCCCTTATCTACAAAAATATTATTATTATCCAGGTGATGATGTTATATTTTCATGTAGTAGGACTCTGAATCTGGCTTGGAATCCATCAGGGAGTTATTATCGTCTTATCTATTTTTGCTGCTCAGTAGCAGAGTGCCCAATGCGCAATGTTAGTCCTCAAAGACGACAACGCGGATTAACGCATCTGTAGCCAGCTTTCTTTAAAGTTCAGTGCAGGTGTTTTCGAGACAGGGCTACTAATAACCAGAGGCGTAGCAAAGGACCATGGCTGCGGTCGATAGATTTTAGGGGGCGACACTACATCATAGGTACCGGCAGGAATGTTTATTTATTTTTTTCATTGAGATGCATCTATACATTAAACTATTAACAAAAGAAAAGAGAGAGCAGAACTGATTGTTCAAGCCCCGTTTGACCCAATTGTATGCGACACTGACATTGTGGCAATCAAGATTGGCATGATTATACTAGCGACAGGTTAGTACTAAACCCTCATTTAGTACGTTACGACGTATCAAATGTAGAATGGGTCAACGACGAAAAAGTATAAAGGACGACACCTACGACGACTCGATTAATAGGTTTAATTTTTTTTAAAATTAAGTACGAGTAGCATGGGTAGCTGCCGTCCGGATGCGCAAGCATTTAAGGCCAGAATGTTTTAAGAATTAAGATTTTTTTTAAGTTGTAAATGTTTTTGTTCTATAGTCTTTGTATATTATTTAAAGCAGCAACCCATGCTGCTCTACTGGCTGTAGCCGATTACCATCAGGTTGGCTATTATTTTGCTTACCGCTTTATTGTCTCCGTAGTCGTGGCGCATACATTCATTGACGCCAATGTTTTGCTATGGATTAAAAAGGCCAAATATACAGCAAACTTGCAAGGCGGTGCTCAGGTTACGAATCAATCATTTCTTTAAAGTTTTCTTTCTCATTTCATCATTTAGCAAATGCACGCGAATTCAACGCTCATGCCCAATATCGGACTGGAATTGTATCCAACAGCCGAGCGCCCTCAGCTACAACTTCATCACCTTTGTTGCCAACATCTACCTTCCTACTGGAAGTGTAAGTAACGTTTATTTTTTATTTTACTGTTACTTTATTATTAAGAGTATAAATACAAAGTAACCGAAAATTATTATCAAATAAACAGAGAATCCTAATGCAGTGACCTGACTTAAACAAGTTTCATATTTTTTTTTTTTTTTGCGCCCGAAGCAATTAAAGGGCTACCCTATACGTAGGGAGGCGGAAAATGCATTACGCATACCACGATAGCCGGTCTATCGTGGTTATGGGGGACTCACTGTCCTACCGGGGACCCTAAGTGATACCCCCTAAAAAACCGCCTTTGGGGACAGGCAGCCGGCTGATTAAGCTCTATTGTTCCTTATCATGAGCGACCCTCTTTTGGGAAAAGAGGGCGCAGGCGGCTAAGTGCCGCTGAGGGAGTGCCTACGAAGGCAAATTAATGTTAGTTATTACAATAATTTTATTTAATTAGAGTTGGCCTGAGCTGCCAGGAGACAGTTCAGGTCGTTTGTTAGGCGGGTCCGAGAGAGAGTTTCTCGGCCTGCGGACACGATAGCGAGAAGGGGGTGGGGCTGCATAAGAAGCTGCCTCACGAATTAAATGGTTTGGGTGCGACTCTGAGGCTTTGAAGAAGTTCTCAGAGAGTTTTTTAAAAAATTGTTGAATTGTTGGGAGCTCTAAGTCCCGATGAAGGTCGGCATTACGGACGTACCAAGGTGCGTTCGCAGCTCGACGACAGAAGAGGTTCTGAACTATTTGGAGTTCATTTAAAATATTTGGGTTTGCGTGGGCAAAAACTGGGCCCGCGTAGGACATGACGGGTCGTATACAGACCTTGTAAAGGGTACGCTTGTTTCGAAGGGACATTTTACTGTGTCGGCCCAACATACTGTTGAGCCTACTCAGATAAAATCGTGCGTGACGGGTTACTCTTTTGACGTGGGGCTTGAAAGTAAGCCCTGTGTCTAGAGTGACACCTAAATATTTGGCGGACGTATGCCAGGGGACAGGGGTCCCTAGCATACGTATTGGAGGAGTGTTTTTGAGACGGCGTCGTTTATAATCGAAGTGAACGGCGGAGCTCTTCTCCGGGTTCACATCGATGCGCCATTTTTTGAACCAAGCTCCTAGGTCATCAACTGACTTTTGGATCTTGTTCCGTATGAAGGGTAGTGAGACACCTTTGCAGTAGATGGCAGTGTCGTCTGCAAAGAGGGAGAGTTGAACACCTTTCGACGGGATGGGAATGTCGTTGGTGAACAGGATGTACAGCAGAGGAGCAAGTACTGAGCCCTGAGGGACACCAGCCTTGATAGTTCGCTGTGAAGAAAGCGTGCCTTCGTGTCTAAAACGAAAGGTACGATGTTTTAAATAGGAGGCCACGAGACGAACTAGACGATCGGGGAGACCTATTTTATAGAGCTTGTAGATGAGGCCTGTGTGCCAGACTCTATCGAAAGCTTTGGCTATATCGAAGAAGACCGCGATGGTTTTATGACGTCGAGGGTAGAAACCGCTGAGGATATATTCCACAATGCGGTGAACTTGTTGGGGACATGAGTGTTTGGCTCGGAAGCCGAATTGGTGGGGGATGATGAGAGGGTCGCCGTCTGTGGGAAACAGAAAGCGCCTCATACGCGTTTGAATGACTCTTTCGAAGAGCTTGCCCATTGCCTTGAGGAGGCTAATGGGGCGATGGCTGGAGGGGAGGTTGAGAGGCTTGCCTGGCTTGGGAATTCCAATCACAGTTGCCTCTTTCCACGTAGTGGGAAAATAACTAAGGTTGAAGCAGGCGTTGAAGATAATAGATAAAAAGGTTAACACCTGCTTGGGAAAGTGTTTAAGGGCTTGGTTGGAGATGCCATCCGCGCCCGGAGCCTTTTTGGGGAAGTTTCATATTCAATTTATATATTATTATATTTTGTCGTAAGGTTCCAGGTTCGGTCAGGTCGGGCCAAAATCATTAATTATGTGTTGCTGTTAAAAAAAATTTAGCAACAAGCCGTAGCCAGAAAGTTAGTTGTGTATAATAACCCTCGTGCTTCGGAAAGCACGTAATGTCGTCAGACCTGCGTCCGATCTCTCTCCGGTCCTGTCGGATTGCCGTCATCACTGCATCAAACTATGAGAGTAAGGGAATAGAGAATAAAGTTGTGTTTACGCATATCTCCGGGCACTGTAATCCTGTCCTGCACAGATGATAATGTACAGTGTTCAGTCTTGTCTTTCTTTTTGGTCTGAGATGTCATTAATCATCATCATCACAACCTATAACAGTCCACTGCTGTACATAGGCCACCTCCATAGATTGCCTCATAGAAAGGATTCTTTTTTTGATAGCTGTCCGTCATATTTAATTTTTAATATTTTATATTTTAGTCTGATACCTGCGAAATTATGATAGATCTACTGAGGTGCGGACGTACAGCCTACATATATTCTCGTTAAACATATTATCTACTTTTGGAATACCCCACAGTCTATAAAATAGAGGGATATCCCGGGTTATATAGAAAGGACTGTTTGTCGAAATTGTCTTAATTCTCCAAGGCTTTGTTGATTTTACCTTAAGTAGTTTGTTTGGAGGTGTTCGGTGTGTTTATGGACTGCAAGATTAATTTATCAAGTGTAATGTAAGGTCGTATCTCATTCACACAGTATAAGTCTAGTTGTAATATAATTTAGGTGGATCTGTTCACAATGCACGGTCCGTCATGGCGCGACTCCGTGGTGAACTTCGAGATGCGAATGGTCGACGTGAAAGCACCCAGCGGCGTTAAGTCCGCCGATCTATCCTGTTTTGAGTAAGTTCAATTCATTATTGTCTGCATGTTGTTGCGTTAGAAAAGAATTCAGAGAAAGAAGCCATGCCATTTAGTTCCGTAGCTGCCGAAGGAGCCGGAATACTATTTCAGAATTTCTTTTCTAAGAAAGAATTTTGTTTTTCCTTACCAATCCATAAAAGTCCACAATATTGGACCAAACGACCGTTCATGTTTCTTTGAGATTTTCCTGTACTCCCCACATTGGACAGGCGAGATGGAGAATGCAAAATCTATCCTTTGGCACTGATATTACTGTTAGCCTTCACTCAGTCTGTGGGATGTGGAATAACAGTGTCTTTGGATATATTTTCCATTATTGAGCCGCCTAATTAGTATCGCGAGATTATTGGTATTTAGAGAAAACAAGTCCTCCTTCTTCCAAAAGGTTCCAGTTCCAAGTTCGAGACAAACCCAAAGAATCAAGATCTTTGGCACTCCTATCGCCAATCCGTTTGCCAAGAATTGTGATTATAGCAAAACCCCAAATTTGGAAAATGTCACAATAATTGGTCACTTTATTGAAGATGCAAACTTGAGATGCGAAGGAACTCTAATAGGTTATAAACCAATAATATAAGTACACGTAACAATCCTAATTTACTTAACGTAATTTCTTTGCGCTATTCAAATTATTATAACTGCATTAGAACCAGAGTGATAACCAAGATACATTCGTCAGGTCCATTCATTCGTTAGATTAAGGCAGGTCAGGACCGTCCTTTGGGATAATCTTTAGGAAACGCTGCTTTTGTAGTGGATTTGTAATAGGCTGCAAGTGTGCAAGGTATGAGTAAATGAGTCAGTACATAATGTGTAAACTAACCATATTTTCTATCAGCATGCGACCAAGCGCCAACGTTTGCGTGGTCTCCCTTCTCTGTTCATTGGAGGGACCTCAAGTAGCCGAGCTGGAGTTGACGATGTCTCTGTATCAACGCAGCCAGTTCGCCGGCAGTGCAGTCGCAAGGCTTGTGGTTATTGTATCCGAGTACGAGTTCTAGTTGAGAAGTAGTATGTCACATTTTAGTGTGAAATTTTATTAAAGCTTTATTTGAATGTACCTAAACAACTGTTCCTTATAAATCATTTTCTTGTTTTTGTATGAGAGAGGATATTTACAAACTACTCGTTGCGTCGCGCTGTAATCCGTAGCCGGCCTACTGGTAGATATGCTATTCTAGCTGGTTTCCGCAAACAATGCAGAAAGAGCGATGCGTAGCAAAGTTAATACATAGTCAATTGATTTAAGAATATTAAAAATATTCTTATTTATTTAATGCTCATTACAAGGTAAAACCAAATTTATTTCTTATTTCAATCCACGCCTTATCTATCAAATCATAATAATATTAAGGTATTTTGGCATATTATCTGCTATCTTATTGATAATATGTATAAATATTTTTGCAGTAATATAAAAATTATTAACGCCACGCGTTCTGCCAAAGAATTCATCAGTGGCAACTGCAATTCGCCTATAACGTGTGACCCTAAAACGGATCGTACACGCGTGTAACTTTGGACTAGTAATGTTGTCAAAGCATTATTATCACGTCCTGTGCAAAATCAAGTACTTATAAAAAATTAACACGAGTTTTTTTAAATATCCTCTTGTCCTTAAATTTTAGTAGGTTTATTTTCAACCTCTCAAATTAAATTATACATTGGGGCCATCCACAAATTACGTCACAAGTTTTACGGTTTCTTGACATTTTGCCCGCCCTAATACTGGCAATTTTTATTCATGTTAAGCCAATACGAAGTGTGACAAGCATAAACTTGTTATACTACTGCCTACAAGTATACTTGTTGCGTAAACTGAACAATTTCTGTTTTTAAAATGGCAGGTCAGAAAGCCCTCCTTTCACAAATGTTTCCTTTCTTCCACCTCATGTGTGATGTGATTTATGTATGGTGTTATAAAGGCTCCAAAATTACTTTAAATTCTATCTGGACTTTTCTAGTATTGTGCTTGTATAAAAACTAGCAATCGTCGGCATTTTTAATGCATCAATACGACGTAACTCCTTTTTTTTACACATCTTCAATCTTTTGACATGGTAGGACATAATGTGTGGTTTTTCTATTAAAACACAACTAAGATTACAGTGACATATTGTGATTTGTTGCAAGCCGTAGACAGAGAAACCTATAGACAAATTGACGTCCTCTTTCGCATTCGCACACGAAAGAGATTTATGCATACGTCTTACATAGAAATGAGACAGAGCGGTGTGATTGTTTGTCCCTTTCTCCGTGCCGGTTTTTTTTTCCACTTTGACAATTCGTAGCGATCTAAGGAGTTTACAAGTTGGTTTAAGTGAGAAAAAAGTGTTTTGTGAGCTAAAATTTTTATCTAAATATGTTTAAGTCATAAAGATTATTGTATATCTTAAAACCACGTTATCGTCCTTTCTCACTCGAGGCCACGCTAATCATTAGTCTATAGGTTTCTCTGTCTACGTTGCAAGCCGTATTTCTTACCATCAAACAAATAGTAAATAAATAAGCAAGTTTTAAAAAATAAGGTTTTGTAAAATAATAATTTTTAATTTGTTATATTATTAAACATCAAGTCGTTTTAGTATAAAAATATTGTATTTTAAAGTGCTACTTATTTATTATAATGTTGGAATAAATTGTATATAAAAATTTTATATGTTGTTTTGTATTTCATTCCATAGAAAATGGTCTCTTATATTGTATTTCCCACTTACCCGCATTTTTACGTAGTCCTTTATAAACATCAATATTATGACTTGAAAATAAAACAGTTAACTCACGTTGGAATATATGTTTTTTTATTTGTATCAAGCACAAGCGTTTCTCTGTACGCCGCTGTTCGACGCCTCGATGGTTATTTACAAATACTTATATGTAATAGTGCACATTAGAGTTAGTAAACAATTAGCTCTCCAGATCACAACATAATTATAATTAATAAAATATAAATTTAAAATTTATTTCTTTCTACAAAATGTAGCGAAACAACGATCACGAACTTTCTTAATGCTCTGGTCCCCTAACCCTTCCCAATCCTTAACGTACCAAAAACAACATTTAAATCTTAAAAAATAATGGCTCTTTTTGATTAAACAATATAATATTTAATTCATATTAATGAAACTTTAAATAAAAAATACTTTGAAATTATAACACAATTTAAACAATATCGTAGAAATCTTATAAATACTTTTTTGACATATTTTGTTTTATACATAAATTTTTCTTTGATGGCTATCAACTTTATTGAAAAAGAAGTACCTCCGACAATTTCAATTTCGAGTTGAAATAAACAAATAACATATATTATTGAGTTACAATGTTATGATTCACATCAGTTTAAAGAATAATCTGCAATGTTCTTGTTATATTGTAAACTTTTTTTTATTTTCATAAAAACATTTAAACAACTTAAGCAGGGTAATTTAGGTAGATAAGAGGGTATCGATGTATAAAGTTTCTAAGAGGTGTCTAAGGTTTCTCAAAATGTGTTAACAGTCAATTTTACATATAACTACACATATAAAGTCCATATCTTCTAAAATTAAACTTTTAATAAAAGCAAAAGCTGTCTTAAAAGAACTAAAAATAACAAAATCATTTTCAAATAACACCTTCAGATGTTTATTCTATTCCTTTTAGTTCTATGAAGTCTACTTTAACTTTTTTTTTAAGTTATTTATACCCTTTTCAGCGAACCAAGGAATACACAGGCTCGATGTAACAACTGCTAGCACGTCGTCTAAATAACCACATTTATCTCCTAAATTCCCATTTTAGAAGTTTCCTTAAATATTTAATGGGACCACTCGCGAAGAATAACCTATTTTATAAAATAAGAATCATCACAGTGGAATTGCACAAGTCTTTTTTTTTAAGTCGGCAAAAACTGATTCAATTCAACACTACGCGTGGACGACAGGAGTAGATCACATTTGATGGTCATCTTTGTACTGTCAGCTAAAGTATAAGTCGAGAAATTAGGGACTCTTAATAAGAGTTAAAAGCTGACTGTGAAAAACTAAAAAAAAATATGTAATGATTTGACATTCTGAAAGCAGTTTTAAAACGTAGAAGAAAAAGAAGAATTAACGTCATAAATAAAAATATATTCCCTTTGCCCGTTACGATTTAGATACGTTTCTTTTTTGTTATATAGATTTATTTGAAGATTAGTAGAATGTCTTGTAAATAAACAGCAAATAGGAAGAGATTTTTGGCCTATCTGATAATCCCGAAGGGTCAGATAATAATCTGGAGTCATACTACGGTTCCACAAACTACAAAAGGATTTAGAGAACTTTGATGAGTCTAATGATGGACTCTAGCACCCACACCTTATCGATCTAACAATCAAGCACCTTTTGAAATTCAGCGTTTTACGTCTGTTGAAAACCAACCTAGTCCTTCACTCGTGCCGTCAGCGATCGCCCTTGGAACACGAGTCAAAAATTTATTCAGTTCTTCAGGTAAGTTGGGCAAGGCCACAATCAACAGTACCAATTACTGACTAAGATTCGGATTCGGTTGGCAAAGAGGAATCGTGGAAAAAACTATGTGGACAACTTATCGGCCAAGTCCTAGCGTTTGTGATGAAATTCTAATGGCACCCAAAACGTGTTTATCAGCCGTACGACACCAGTATAAGTTGGTTCGAAAATATTTTATTAAAAAAGTTTATGATTTGATAATATAACGCACATAAATACTAATTATATTTAAAGACAGATCGTCCATGAAACAATATATGCGCCCATGAAAAAAGGCTACAAGGTATGGTGCCGCTGTGAGTAATTCCGGGAACTTATACAAGTCCTACAATTACACTGGAAAATCAGAAACCAGTACAGAGGAAGCATTAATATATAAAGTTGCTATTTATAGAATAAGGGTGACTACCGAGCACACAGTCCACCTCATTATGGTAAGGGGATGCTGTGGCTTATAGATACATTTATCCTCGATTAATAATCAAAATATAGATGCGTTGTCACCACTAAGGACTAAAATGCGTCTCCAGTGAAAAGAATCAAAAGAGTCTCCTCTCTACACTCACTATAAGAAACACAGAAGCTATAAGCTGCTTTTATTATTATTTTATGCTTGTATTCTGTGCGCGTGTGATCATTCTCCGGTCGTGCCTACCCATTTGTTCTAATATCATAATGCAGCGTGGCTTTACCGCGTGTAAATGTCTACGTTCTACTAAAATGGGGTACTAGAAATCGTATCGTATGTGTCAAGAACATTGCAGTCTTGGTTAGTAAAAATGTACGTAATAGCCATCTTTATACTCTCCAAACTTAGTTCATGAATCTATATCACTAATAAATCATAAACACATTGGGTGCGTTCGGCAGAAAAAAGCGCTCGCAAGCGCTTACTAGCGCTAAAATAGTTTTCGGCCAGGACACGATTGCTACTTCAGTAGCGTTGACATAATCCGCCATTTTGCTTATTTAATTTGTTTTGAAGTAGAGTTTATGAGTTGTTTTTTTACAATATTAGTTTTAAGCAATATAATGACATGAATAGACAAATACATTTTATTAAAAATTCATGATTGGTAAGTTTTTAATATGATTACTTCACAAACATATATTTAAATTAGGTTAGATTCCACGGTTAAAACTAACATCGTGTCCTAGAGGAAAATAGCTACTTACGTTTTGACAGCGCTTACCGCTTACGATCGCCATTTTGCTAACAAGCGCTTGCTAGCGCTTCTTTCTGCCAAACGCACCCATTTTCACTCTGACATGCTGCCATAGCTATTGGTTATAACTTACTATCTGCTTGGAGGGAACACAATCAAAAGGACTGACAATCGTCATGCAAGAAGGTATACTCCCATACTGAAGACGCTATCCACTAACGAAACAAAAAGGAAACCAGACCGTTTAAGCTGAACACTGCAAAAAATAATTTATAATGCTATCTAGTAATGCAGTCCGTTTGTGTTATTTCTCCATTTTCAACAATTTGAGTCCACAGTACA